GATGTTAATATATATATAAAAGTGATCATACATGAAACCCCTGGGATCAGGACAGGTATCTGATGTTACTGTATATAATATAAAAGTGATCATACATGAAACACCTGGGATCAGGACAGGTATCTGATGTTAATGTATATAAAAGTGATCATACATGAAACCCCTGGGATCAGGACAGGTATCTGATGTTAATGTATATAAAAGTGATCATACATGAAACCCCTGGGATCAGGACAGGTATCTGATGTTACTGTATATAAAAGTGATCATACATGAAACCCCTGGGATCAGGACAGGTATCTGATGTTAATGTATATAAAAGTGATCATACATGAAACCCCTGAGATCAGGACAGGTATCTGATGTTACTGTATATAATATAAAAGTGATCATACATGAAACACCTGGGATCAGGACAGGTATCTGATGTTACTGTATATAATATAAAAGTGATCATACATGAAACCCCTGGGATCAGGACAGGTATCTGATGTTAATGTATATAAAAGTGATCATACATGAAACCCCTGAGATCAGGACAGTTATCCGATGTTACTGTATATAAAAGTGATCATACATGAAACCCCTGGGATCAGGACAGGTATCTAATGTTACTGTATATAATATAAAAGTGATCATACATGAAACACCTGGGATCAGGACAGGTATCTGATGTTACTGTATATAATATAAAAGTGATCATACATGAAACACCTGGGATCAGGACAGGTATCTGATGTTAATGTATATAAAAGTGATCATACATGAAACCCCTGAGATCAGGACAGTTATCCGATGTTACTGTATATAAAAGTGATCATACATGAAACCCCTGGGATCAGGACAGGTATCTAATGTTACTGTATATAATATAAAAGTGATCATACATGAAACACCTGGGATCAGGACAGGTATCTGATGTTACTGTATATAATATAAAAGTGATCATACATGAAACCCCTGAGATCAGGACAGGTATCTGATGTTAACTAATATAAAAGTAATTATACACGAAACCCCTGAGATCAGGACAGGTATCCGATGTTACTGTATATAAAAGTGATCATACATGAAACCCCTGGCATCAGGACAGGTATCTGATGCTACTGTATATGATATATAAAGTATGTGACACAAAAGCCGTGGGATCGGGACAGGTATCTTAAGTTATAACAGTATTAATGTAATCTAGAGGTATCTTAAGTTAATTTGTTTAATAAAACATACACTGACTTTACATGAAACACCTTCGATCAGGACAGCTATTTTGTACTGCATATAAAAGGCATTGGACACGAAACCCCTGCGAATACGTACAGGTATCTGAATGAAACGGCTGTTTTCACAATCTGCGCATGATCCGTGACCTATGCAAATTCACAGATAGGCCACGCCCACCCGATGACGTAGTAGCGGTTACGCTGTACTGAAACCCCTGGAAAAAAGTGCCTGCCGTCAACCGACCAATCCGGCGAAGTGATAAAGAAAGCTGATCCTAATTGGTCTTCGTCTGCGCATTCAAAATGCTGATTGGCTCACAGAAAGAACCTTATGGAGCCAATGTTTAAAACAAGAACAAAGTTCTTCAAAGAAAGACAGGAAGACAGTTGGATATTTTACTTTCAACAGTGCATAACATAATAAAAAGATTCAAATAATCTGGAGAAAGTTCAATGCTTAAAGGACAAGGGTGCAAGCCTAAGCTGAACAACTGTGATCTCTGAATACAAATGGTGAATAATGTGCTATTGTATTGTCTACAATGAATACAAGATTTTTTTTTATTTGCATTTTTCATACTGTCTCTTTTTTCTTTTTTTTTATTCAGAGTTGTAGAATAGGGCCGACACAGTGGCGTAGGTAGTGCTGTCGCCTCACAGCAAGAAGGTCGCTGGTTTGAACCTCGGCTCGGTTTGGCTCAGTTGGCGTTTCTGTGTGGAGTTTGCATGTTCTCCCTGCATTCGCGTGGATTTCCTCCGGGTGCTCCGGTTTCCCCCACAGACTAAAGACATGCGGTACAGGTGAATTGGGTAGGCTAAATTGTCCGTAGTGTATAAGTGTGTGTATGAATGAGTGTGTGGGTGTTTCCCAGAGATGGGTTGCGGCTGCGTAAAAACGTGCTGGATAGGTTCATTTTCGACAAGAAAATGAATGAAAATGAGAAATGTAAAATAGATGTAAAAGGTGGCATGGTATCTTAGTGCTCAGCACTGTCATCTCACAGCAATAAGTTGGAATAGGAGCAATTTAGAGCTAGTAATCAGGTAAATTGGGTAAATTATGATGTGATTTGAAACAGGGGATGTCAACAGGGATTGTAATTATGATTTGGTACAAAAGTAGGATCCAAGAAAGGTTTAATCCTTTAGGCTGAGGATTGCTAGCTGCCAACAAATCGCCACCTTGGAAATATAATGTTCTCTCTGGCAGATCAATAATTCAAGTTTTACTTTTCAATAAATACAATCAATCTGCTTCTGAAAAAAGCAAAAAAAAAAAAAAGAAAATGGTTTTGTAACCATGTTGCCTTACAGCAAGACGGTTGCTTGCTCGAGTCCCGGCTGGGCCAGTTGGCATTTCTGTGTGGAGTTTTTATGTTCTCCCCGTGTTGGCATTGGTTTCCTCCGGGTGCTCTGGGTTTCCCATAGTCCAAAGACATGTGCAATAAGTGAATTGAATAAACTAAATTGGCCATAGTGTATGAATGCTGTGTAAAACATATGCTAGAATAGCTGGCGGTTCATTCTGCTGTGGTGACCCCTGATAAATAAGGGACTGAGCCAAAGGAAAATGAAATGAATGAATAAATGTTAGGATGTATAGATGTAACAAATATAGTAACTTAAAACATAGGACATTGTGTAATTGAATACAACACAACAGAATACAATACAACAGAATATAAGAGTGTGTGGAATATGGAAGGAAAAGTAAATGCTTATTACAAACAGGATCTTATTTAATTGAATACAACACTACACAAACAATACTGAAAATGATCATGTCAAACACTACACTACATAACTATGAGTATAATTGAAGCAATGTAGTCATTACAAATGTGAAATTCTAAAATAAACGAATAGAATACGGAAGCGTGTAAATTATAATCAACACAACTATTAGGTTTTAAAATAGAATAGAACAGAACACAATAGAAATGTATGTACACTGTAAAAAAGATCTGTGAAAAAACGGTTAAAAGACTGGCATCAGGGCTTCCAGAAATATTCCGTTAAATTACAGAAAATAACCATTTAACAAAATCACTGTCATATCCCGGCTCGTTCCTGCTGCTCCAATCACTAGTCTCCCTCACCATCTCATTCCCTCAGCTCCAATCAGCGCTCTCCTTTACCAGACACCTCTCATCACACCCGAGCACTCTCACCTGAATTATAATTAAACTCACCTGCACCCGTAATCACCCCCCCCTATAAAGCCTCCCCGATTCCAGTCATTCAGTGGCTGGAATTGATGTCAGATGGTTCACCTCACCTTCTCCCCGCTCACCTTCTTCTGTGGATGTTTCCCTTCTCCTATGGATGCTTCTCCTAAACCTGTGGATGCACAAGCTGTGATTAAGGGAAGACAAGTGACTTTATACTCAGATGCTTGAATTAAGATCCTTGTTTTCATTGTGAACAACATTCTATCTGCTCCATCCAAGAATATCACTTACCTGCTTCTCCTGTTGATCAATCCACTGTGTTTGAATAAATTGATGAAAAGAGAACCATCCTTGTCTTTATTGTGTAACCGTGACAATTCCATTATAAAACTGTAAAAATACAGCACTTTACGGTCAATTCATTAAAATACAGTTTTTCTTTTTATTTTTCTTTATTACTATTTTTTTAACTGTTGATAATTTGCGTTTAAACTGTGAAAAAAGGGGGGAAAAACAAGTGGTAATTACTGCCATTCTACTAATAATTACTAAGTGTGTGTGTGTGTGTATGTATGTATATGTATATATATATATATATTATACAAATTAATTGATGTGATTATAATGATTATTATTGTAATCATACAAATTATTTTTATTATCTTTTAACATCAGAAAAACATATTTTAAAGAATGATAAAAAAAAAATTCTGGAACAAATTATTGCTGCTGTCATAAAACTGTAAATATAACGATAAACTATAATAGTTTAACAAATATGTGTTAGGATATGTAGGTTAAACTCCAAAACGATTGTCTTGAAAAAAATGTATATCTAATTTTTTTTTTTTTTCAAATAACACATTTGGTCCTTGTTTAACAACACCAAAAAGCTTAGTGTCATGTGAGGATGCCTGCACAACAAAGTTGAGAATCAAATAGCAGTTTATTAAGAAAATAGTCTTGCAATTAAAAGTTGAAACATGGGGAAAAACAGCAAGCGTAGAGGCGTTAAACAAAATAACGAAGTAAACGAGTCAAAAGCAGCAAGGTGAGGGGAAACGCATTGTAATGCTCACTCTACAGTTTAAGACACTGATGAGTTTATAGTCTTTGAAATCAGTCTATAACAATCTTCTGACTGTGTGTAATCCAAAATACAAGCAATAACTGTAAGGTTAACGTTAGAATTTTTTTATTACAGAACAAATCTGTAAAACAACAGGTATTTTACTGTATAATGAAAATACAAAATTCTGTAAAAAATACAGACAATTGCCTGTAAAATAACGGTTATTTTTACAGTGTAGAATCATTAGAAATATGGCAAGTATAAACAAAACAAATTATAGAAGACAATAGAACAAAAGAACAGAACAAAAGAGAAAAGATGCTGGTTAATTTACCAGTCAACGGCAGAACCTGTTCTCTCCCATTACCATGACATCTACTTTAATACAATATCTCCAGTGTTTTTTGTTCTCCTTATTGAACCTTTTGCGGTTCACAAAGGACTATCAAAACGAGGTGAAGCCGATGTGCTGGGTCACTTCCTAGAGGATAATGCAGTTAACAGCGAGCTCTACTTGGCAGAATCCTGAACGGATGGCTCAGCTAATTGGCAGGGCTGTGCACAGCAGGATTGGGCCAAATCCACTGGCAGACTCTTATTCCTGTTCTCCATGCTTCAAATCATCCAGCAATTCTCAATATAACTCAAAACTTGTGCATTCACTTAAGAATTGTACAAAAAAAATAGACTTTGATGTGTTAAATTAGCAGTTGGAGAACGTCTCAGGCCAAATTGATCCATTTCCCACCAAGAGGATTAGACTCAGGGAGATTAGCCCGGCTACTTCTTTTAATGCTAAAGCTAAAGTGAGCATATGGGTGTTTGCTAACCACCTGCTTGCCTGCTGAGGGGACATCGGCGGAGCAGAAGCAAGCACAGAGGAAGCAAACTGGAATGATCGGGCTGGATGTTTATCTGGATCCGGATGGTCTTCGGGTCGCTACACCTGAAGATATAGAGCAGTGGGAATCAGAGAGGGAAATGTATGACCCGAATGTGCGCCTCTTTGTGGCTCTTTTCTCATACAATCCTGCACTGATGTCACCAAACCCAGAAACTATGGAGGAGGAACTGCCTTTTGAACAAGGACAGATCATCAAAGTAAAGAACTTTTTATTCTTATTATACTGTAACAAAGCATGAGTACATTTGGGTCAAACTATCATCTTAGATGTTTTGTGATAGGTTTACAGACATCTATTAATAAGCAATGCGTTTGTTACAGTGTTACTAATCTTCATTGATGTTATTGAAGGTAAATATGGATGTTTATTCAAGCTCTGTAAAAAAATACTAAATAATCTACCTGATTTAAGTTGAGTCAACTTAACATTTCTAACATTTCTTGTTAGATTCAATCCATTGAATAATATTAACAAAATCTTCGGATGTCAAAATTATTAATTGATTTAATAATAAATGTTGAAATGAACATTAACTGAGATTATTCAACATTATAAAATAATTTTACTAATTATTTCATGCTTTCATCAGTGTTGCCAGATAGGGTGGTTTCCCACCCAATTGAGCGGTTTTGAATTTATTTTTGCGGCTAAAAAATTACATAGGCAGGTAATGTAAAATTGGGCGATTTCGTAAAGGCGTGCTTGCCTTCATTTATAAACCTGTTATAATCCCCCAAAGAGGTGCCGTAGCCCCCGTTTCCCACATACAAATGCTTACAACAGTTGTGATCTCCCAAGGAGACACTCATCCCTCTCTCAGCTGGTTTTTATAGTCTACAGCACTGATCATCAACTGGCGGCCCGTGGGCCAAATCCGGCCCGCTGAGCCGTTTAATCTGGCCCGCGACTGGATTCCAAAATTGTGAGGATCAAAAAGAAAATTGTGGTCCACACTATTAAAGCAACTAAAAATAACAACAACTGAGTCTCTTGTCATAATAACTACCATTTGCCTATATTAAGGCTACACTCCGAAATGAGGACAGACTATGCCGCGTTAAGCATTTATTGTTTCAAACAGGTTTAAAAAGAAAGAAAAAAAAAGGGAGGCATAAATTTCCTCATGCCCTTACTTAACATTTGCTTTTTATTTCTAAGTCTCAACAACATGCTTGAAACTAGCAGACTCCTCAGTACAGGACAGAACAACTTAAAACAGCATGGTAAATAAATAACCTGGAACCAGAACAAAACAGGTCACAAATAAAGTCCGCACATCAAATGAAACGTTAAGTGGACTTGAACTCAAATCACAATGCTGAAACGGGCTACTCACAGTGCTTAATCAATGGCTAAAGTTACATTTCCCCTCTGACACCAACGTTTTCACATCAGGCTTGGCCGCTGTCAGACTTTTCAATGTGTCATAGGTCTCGGGACAAGATACCCAAAATGCGCTCAGGCTTTCAGCACCGGAGAGCCGCCTTCACATCTCCTGCGGGCTAAATTTCAGCCAGCTAGCTCTGAATGACCGCCTTGTCAAATGGCAGCATTTTCACCGCGTTTGTGGAGAATTTTCCATCACTCCTAGTGGTTGACTGTGGTATAGGTGATGGGAGCCTGAATCAAATGCCTTCAGTTTGTAATGAAATGGAAAAAGTATAAACATTGAGCATAATGTTAAGCCAAAATTAGATTTTTATTTGATTTTCTTCTTGGCAGTCCGGCCCCCAAGGAGACTGTCTGGTAAAACTCTGGCCCTCTGACAAATATAGTTGATGACCCCTGGTCTACAGATTGTTGGGCGGTACGTTTTGGTTTTTTAGATCAGCTGGAAACAGTTAGCTACATCTGGCAACACTGGCTTTCATTCCAAATGACAAATGAACCAAAATTAGAATAGAATAATATTTCATAACAAACATATGATATATTATTTTAGAAATATATTGATCTATTCAAATGAAAGAAATTCAACTGCACTGTAAAACCCAACAGTCAACTTTATCAAATGAAATGAGTGTAGTTAACTCAAAATTGACTAAAAGTTGATTCTACACATTTGAAAAGAGTTTTGAACTCAGTGTTGAAGGTAAAGAGTTAATTAAACACCTTATTACTTCAACGTAAATGCAATAAGTTCACATTACTATAGATTAGTACATAGTATGTAGATTAGTTTTGACTCAAATGGTTTGTAGCAATTGGTTTCTTCGAACAGTTTGAGTTGCTTTAACTTATTGGGTTTTACAGTATTCAGTTAATTTGAGTTCTCTTCATTTACTGGGTTTTACTGTGCTCAAATTGCTTTGTTTACTCAAATGGATTAAGTTCACAGTCCTCATTAGGATTCTTATTTTTACTTAAATGGATTGTTGTAATCTGTTTCCTCAAATGGTTTGAGTTATACCATAACTTCTTGGGTTTTACAGTGTGAATGGAAGAGAATATTGAATAGAGTTAATTGAATAGAAGAGAATTGTGTCTAAATATGAATATGTTCTATAAGTGCTAATTGCAAATGGAAATTAACAGAGCACAACAGAATAGAATACGCAAGAGTCAGGGTAAATAGCACTGCACAGAATAGAATAGAGTTGTTTACAATACACACGTCTAAGGACTTTGCCAATTGCACATGGGAAATTGTAGAATCAACTAAAATAGAATAGAATGTGGTAATTAAACGCTAAATAATTTTGGGTTGTTTAAACCCAAAGATGGATGAAATATGGAATAACCCAATGTTGGGTAATTTTTTACAATTAATTTGAATCACACTTTTTAACCCAATGTTTCGCCAACATTGGGTTAAAATCAACCCAGTATTTTTTTAGAGTATACAAATAAAAAACAGAGCAGAATGTGTTAATGTGTTCCTCACAACTGTTTTGTTTTTTTAATAAAAATGTTTTCCAATTTAGGTTCTTGCAACACGTTAAAAACATTGGAACATTAAAGCTGTCACCACTTTGTAATGTCGCCATTCCTTTTCACAACACTTAAAAGACGTTCAGAGACTGAAGACACCAAGTGATGAAATGTTTCAGGTGTAATTTTGTCCCATTCTACCTGCAAACAAGTCTTAAGGTGGGCAACAGTACAGGGTCTTCATTGTCACTTTTTGCTCTCCAAAATGTGCCACACATTCTCTAATGGAGACAGGTCGCGACTGCAGGCAGGCCAGTCAAGTACCTGTAATCTCTTCCTCCACAGCCAGGACTTTGTAATATGTGCAGAATGGGGTTTGCATAGTCTTGTTTAAATATGCATGGACATCCCTAGAAAAAAAAAGCAGCATATTTTCTTTAAAATCTCTATGTACTTTTCAGCATTTATGGTGCCATCACAGAAGTGGAAGTTATCTTTGCCAATGGCACTGACACAACCCCATACCATGACAGACCCTGGCTTTTGGACTTGCTGTTAACAGTCTGGATTTTTTTTTAAGTCTGAAGTACATGGTGTCCATTTCTCCCCCCAAAAAACATCCTTAAATACTGATTCATTTGACCACAGTACACATTTCCACTGTGTGATGGTCCATCCCAGATGCCTCTGATCCCAGAGAAGTCAACAGCGCTTCGGACACTGTTAACATAGGGCTTCCTTTTGACACAGAACAGTTTTAACTGGCATTTGTGGATGTTACATATTGTGGTTTGCCAAAGTAGTCCTGAGCCCATGTGGTGATGTCATCGATAGATGATTGATGATTCATGATACAGTGCCCAAAAGGGATCAAGGATCACGGTTGGATCAGGCTTGAGCCCTTCTCCTTTATGCACTGAAAATCCTCCAGATTCTTTGAATCTTTTAATCATTTTATGAATTGCTGTAAGTAAAATATCCAAATGTCTTTATATATTTCTTTGAGGAACATTGTTTTTAAACATTTCAATCATTTTCTCACATATTTGTTGGCAAACTGGAAATCCTCAACCCATTTTTGCTCTTAAAAGACTGGACTTTTCTTGAATGCTGTTTTTGTACCTAATTATAATTGCAACACCTGTTTCAAATTACTTCATTGTTTAACCAATTTACCTGTTTACTAACCCTTAATTGTTTTTGTCCCACTTTTTTTGAAAAGTGTTGCAAGAACCAAAATTGTAACACGTTTTTTTATTTTGAAGAAAAATATCTTGAGGAATACATGGAATAATATTTGTTATATCGTCTGCAGTGAAATACAAGTCAAAGTAAATTTAGAAATCACTACTTTTTTTAATTTGCGTTTTCTGTACCGTCCCTACTTTTTCTGATTTGGGGCTGTAGATGAGAAACTGCTTTTCAAACAAGGACGGATCTTCAAAGTAAAGACCCTTTATCTTTTCATTTGATAAGTACTTTAGGGTCTTGCCATCATCTTCATGTGTTGGGATGCTTCAGAAACAACGGGATGTTTGGTGTTGTAGGTTTATGGAGATAAAGATGCAGACGGCTTCTATAATGGAGAGACGGGTACTCGATGTGGTTTTGTACCAAGCAACATGGTGTCTGAGATTCCTGTGGAAGACGGGGAGATTAAACTTCGTCTGATCCAGCAGGGTTTTTTACCTGAGGAAACACCTTCTATAGGTAAGCGTGTAATGAATCATATATATTTTTAAATTATAGAACACTTGAATGGATTAAATGATTAATTTATGTCTTTTGTTTGTGTGATTATTATTAGCACCCAGTGAGACTTCCAGTGCGCCAGATGGAGAGAAGGTCCACAGGATGGTGGCCATCTTTGATTATGATCCTTGGGAAAGTTCTCCAAACATAGATATCGAGGTCAGTGTATTTCTCTCTCTCTCTCCCTTTCTCTCTTTATCTGGTAAAAAAATAAATAAATACATAAAAAAGTAAACAAATAAATAAATAATAAAATAATAATAAAATAAAAATACAAATTATAATGATAATACCAATAATAAATCTGAATAAACCCCTCTCTTTCTTATACAATACTACACATAATTATACAATATATTTTGAATATATTCACTCTAAAATGTTTTTTTTTCTATTCCTTTACCACATTTTAAATACATTTTGTATTGTTTTTATTTATTGATTCCAACTGACATTACACTTAATATTAAAATATAAAACATTTGGTATTCTTTAAATAATGTATTAAAATGAATTAATTTTAATTTCAAAAATTATTTTATTAATAATCTTTTTTTATGTATTTTGTATATTTAAATTATTAACATATTTTATATTGCTTTTTTATATTGAACACTTATTGTGTGCTTTAAATATTTACATAAATTATGTAAAATTAACTGCAACAAATTCACTATTTTATTAATATTTAATAAATATACATTGTTAATATTTGATCAATATGACAAGCATGGTAAGTAATGCATTTGTAAACCATTGTTAATATTAATTAAAGAAAACCTGTTGTATTTTATTTATTTATTTTTATTATCATTATTTTTATTTTTTGTTTATTTATCAGCACATAAACTTGATATCCAGCTACATTTGGTTGATTGGAATAGGTCTATTTATGTTAAATGGAAGTACAACATTACATTTTTTAAAGTCTCAAAATAAAAAATGTTAAAATAACACATTCATGTTATATTTATGTAGTTATGTTTTTGGTTGTTGTCTAATTTAGGACGAGCTTCCCTTCCGTGCAGGAGACATCATATATGTTTTTGGGGAAATGGACTGTGATGGATTTTATTATGTAAGTATGACTCTGTACTACACATATAGCATGCTTGTTTGTTTTTACAGATCATTAGATAAAAAATTCTGTTTTATATTGATCCAGGGGGATCTTCATGGGTATCGAGGTCTGGTGCCATCAAACTTTTTGCAACCTCTGCCTTGGGATTAAAGGAAATGAACAATCAGAAATCAGGAACAGGAGATTGAACTCAGATTGAGAGCGTGACAAACTGCAGTCTTGCTTTTAATTTTCTTTTCACTTTTTAACAATATAATGTGTCTTGTTTCCTACAATGTACATGACAGTATAATGTGCTCACTAACCTTAGCATAGGTTAAGTACATTAAAGGGAATTAGATTTTGATTAATACAAAAGATTTTCAGAAGCAGCTTGCATATAGCCTTAAAACATTATGTTCATTTAATAACTGTCGTTTTATACTTTTTGTCTTTTTTAATAGCCAGCCTATTGAAAAGGGTGGTACTTATTTCTCAAAAAGTGAATCTTTTTGCAGTTATTCTCCCAAATTTGCATTATGTGGATCAAATACTGCATTTTAGTGACATCAAGCAGGATTATTTACTGCATTAGCTTGTGGTGATGATGGTGACTATAAACACATATTTCGATTCAACAAAAATATTTCCTACAATTTTGTCAAAGTGCTTACCATACTGTTTTACTACAAAGTGTTCATTTAGAAATGTGCGTTTGAACTAATTAATTACAGTTTTATAAATAATGTTATGAGATTAGAATTTTAAATTAAACATTTTTAAATAAAAAATATGAAACAATACTTATATTTAAAATTTTGTCATCATGCATTATTATTTTGGAACGAACAATATATCAAAACAATCTGAATTTTAAAAGATGTCTTTAGAAATCTGACTTCAGTTGTCTTAAATTTCAGATGTTCAATATTCAAGTTATACATTTGTAATTCAAGTTAAGAAATTCAAATTCAAAACATTTTTTTAATGGCATGCAATATTCAGTTTTATTAAATTACAATAGTTAATAATTCAAATGAAGCCAATTCAAATTTTAATTGTTTTGGCGTATTATTAGCTCCATGCATTATTAGCTCTATACATTAACCAAAACAATTAAGAATATGTTAAAACTTATTAAAAACAACTAAAGAAACATTAAATACTAATATTAAAGCCTGTAGGTAAATAATAAACTGGCCAGCTCATTTCCTCAGTCCGAATTCGTAAATTTGTATAATTGAAAATTAAATTAGTCCTAAAAGCTTCTTCTATCAGTTATTTTCTAAATTTAGGATGGAATACTGAAGCCATTGGATACCACGATCACCTCACAGCAAAAAGGTTGCTGGTTTGAGCCTCGGCTGGGTCAGTTGGCATTTCTGTTTGGAGTTGGAATGGGTTTCTGTCGGGTGCTCTGGTTTCCCCCACAGTCCAAAGACATGTGGTCCAGGTGAATTGTTCGCAGTGTATGTGTGTGATTGAGTGTCTATAGATGTCTCCCAGAGATGGGTTGCAGCTGAAAGGGTATCCGCTGTGTAAAACATATGCTGGATAAGTTGACGGTTCATTCTGCTGTAATAAAGGGACTTAGCCGGAAAAAAAAATTAATGAATGATGCAATACTGTCAAAAAGGGACAAATGAGATCATATAGGGGCCAAATTCTGGACATTGTCAGTGGGAGGATGGGTCTTTTGAACCACCTCAACCCCTGCCGCCTACGGGCCTGAATATTCAAGGCTTTATATGATTAAGTTTGTTTATGTGAGTAAATTAGCATTATTATAAAACTTCTTACAAACACACAAAAAAATTATATAATATATATTATATATTATATATATAAATATATTATTTTTGTAACTTGAAATAAATATGTAACTTCAAAAAGTAGCCACAAAATATTTATTATGTAGCCTAAATTTATTTTACATATTGAAAAATTACAAGCTTAAAAGAAGTATAAATTTACATATAAAAAGTATTGCATGAAAAGTGGAATTTAGTAGGCCTCCACGCAGCATTTAAATGAGGTCAAACTGAAGAACCAATGAGATTCATTTTTGCGGATAACGCATACATTTGAGCTCCCGCAACAACCAATGAGATTTGTTCCTGTGTCTAGCAGGTGAAGTTGAGCTTTCAGATGGTGAGTGAAGCCTAATTGGAATAATATAAAGCGAAGATGTCTTTAAAAAAAAAACTATTAAACCACTCAATTGTTTTGTGCACCCGAAGTGAAAACATCTTACCGACACCATGAGGGTGAGTAAACAGTTTATCAAAACTCAAACCCTAAAATAATATAACAGCAGCAAATACACACAGGTCTTCTTTATGGTTCGTTTTATTACTTCAGTTCCTGTTCCATAAACAATTAGTTAATTAATGTACAAGTTAACATACATAACGTTACATGTGAGCACATAAAAAAATGTTCGAGAGCAAAATCATAATTAACACTTCACAAATTACACGTTCATATTCAGCATCAAGACTGTCCATCGCCGCCAACAGTACACTCATCCATAAAGTAGGAAACACTACACTGTGTAGAGAAGTTTAGTAGTGCTGTCTACTTTATGAGTGACTGCACTGTACCTCTGACCTTCCCGCCTCTTCTCGTCTTCACGCTCCAGTCGACACTTTTACACGCTTCCTCTTAACTCCATGTGCTCCGAATGCGCGTTTTACACCGATTATTAAACCTGTGAGAAAGCAGAACAAACTGTAGTGGTTAAACATGTCAAATACTATTAAAATATTAAAATAAGTTGAGCTGCGTTGGCTTTTCTTGTTCATAGTAGTCACCACAGATCGTGAGGTGTTTACAATTACTCTTTTTTTTTTACTGTTATAGGTAAAAATGAAATATGCTATGTGTAATGAACTATTTTAAAAGTGCATAATGCATAGATCTTCCAGTACTGCTGCTACCTTATTTGTAAAAATGTGTTTAAGATGAAATGGCTTCCTTTTGTATCAAATGTTTATTTATTGTAATGCTATTTACAGCTACTAGTAAAATAAACAAATATATTTTAACATTTATAATAATTAAAAAACAAGTGGTTACTGTTTTCTGTCATTATTTTTAAGTTCTGCCAAATTCACCTCATATTTGCAGATAAAACCAGGCAGTTCGCCGTTCTATACAGTGTAACAAGTTTATGAAACCAGTAAACAATGATATGAATGTTTAAATATGTCTAAAAATTTAGATTAAACGGAAGAGCAGTGACTTACCAGCTCTCTGCCTACTTGGTCCCGGAAACAACAGAGAAAAGAGAAAGAAGTTGTCGCCTTTTAACACTTTTTAGGCCACATGGTGCAAACCACAGGAAGAGGCCCTGCCATCTCTGTCTTGAAGAAGCACAAATGCACGCCTATTGGACTACAGCAAGTTTCGTTTGAAGACAGACTCAAATCAATTCCTTTTAAGGGCATTTTAACCGATAAAAGACCGATCTGAAATGACAGAATAAAGCCTGGGTCTGTAGCATACCTCAACATCACACAAAGAAATAAAGAGGAAGTCTAGTAAACATGTGATCAGATTGCATCAGGCTTCCTCATTGTGTCTTTAAACTCGCATTATTAAATTATTTTAATAGCAGATGTTGGTTTATGAGGAAATATCTTCACAGGAAGATGTTGCGTGTGCTTTTTTGTGTTGGTTTATTTTGAGATTCACATATATATGAAGCATAATGTTGTTCATTGCACTTGTAGAGCTGTTTCCTGAGGGGGAGGGTTGTTAGTATGTTGAACAAAACCACACCATTTCATCAGCACATTAATATATACTTTGAGTCAAATATGAGTGCGGTGATGAATGATGTGTCATATAAATGTCAGATTAGTATAATTTAAAATCAGGGTTGCTAATTTTACAATGCATTACAGTAAAGATGATAAAAGCCAGCTGGTTTGAAATATTACCTTCACAGATATGACAGCATCTAATTAAATGTAACATCAGACTCTCTCTCTCATTCTCTCTCCTCTCTTTGGTGCTTGAATTGAAACACGTATTGTCCCAAGCTCCCTTGAGTTTTTATACTTTGATAAAGAGCAAGCCGTTCTCCAATTCCCTGAATGTGATGTACATGAGACGGACTTGTTGTCTAGACAACCCAAACCTCAAAATCTCGTTTGACACGCACAGAAGGAAGTGGGGGATGTGCATACACTTCTCTGTGATGTACTGTCATAACGTACCTAGTGCTGTAAAGACAAAGAAAACGGTCAAACATGAGTAACAGACATTCAGTTAAATGTCAATGTAGACAGTTTTCTTTGTGAATATTGGAAAGTAAATGCACCTGAACATACTTCTTAAATGTTTGCTAGTTTATTGATATTAAATGGAATATACTATAGAAAGTGATGTTGACAGTAGGCATCAGCCTGTATATGATTCTGACAGTATGATAACCTTGGATAAAAATATCACCGTTTCATGGTATTGTGATAACTGCTGTAAAATATATTGTTTTTAAATATCTGGGTAAAAAATAAAACCCTTTTTCCTGCTTTAAACAATTTATTTTATCTTGAGAAACTTTTAAAATATTTTGGAGCAGTAAACATGTGATGGCTGAATAATTCAAATTAATCTTCTCTTTCCTTATTTATGATTTGGTTATGGGTAAAACAAAGCCCATGCGGGTCAGGTAGTTTAAACAGTAGGCTACAAATAAGTAATTGGTTATGAATTAATTAATTATTCATAAATAATTAATTCACCACCGCCTACGACGACGATGCCATCGTCTATCGCGATGTTTCACATTAGACATCGATCGTACAATGTCAAATTGGTCAACATCGCCCAACCCTAATGTACAATTCATCTTTAAGCTACAAACATTTTATTCAATGTGCCCAAATGGCTTACATTCGCTTCACATTCTTATAGTCTAGTCTTAAAAACACATGCAAATAAGAAACCTTAAGTTTAAAATATGAAATTACTCCACTATGTTGTTAACTGTAATATCTGGTCAACTACAATCCCAACTACATTGCAGATCCCTGTGATTTGACTATTGCAAACTCGCACAGTTTGTTTTTGCTGAAACAATAAATTGTGCCGCCCTACTTCAAACAAAATTGAAGAATGAACAGAAATTATGTCATTTTGACAGATGACAAAGTTTGTTTAGAGTTCATTTCGGCTGTTTGAAACAGCTTATCAAACTTTTTTAGGGGAAGTTAGTTTTGACTCCTTAACACCTTTGAGCTTCCTTTGGTTAATTGGTTTCTATGAGAATACACAGACCGGTGGTGCCATTCAGTGTCTGTTCTCAAAAATTTGAAAACAATGTGAAGATGTGGCACTTCTCCCCTGGGGTGCAAAAGGCTGAAGAGGGCTGTTTGCCGGGTGTTTATGAAACTGTTTTTCTCTCCCAGCCACCATCTTTGTATGACACATTTCAGCTCTCTCTATTGCATTACGGGTTTTTTCCTCCTCAGATGGAAAATGAAAAAGAACTGAATTTGAAGTTGATCAGGGCCTTCGTCTATTTTGTTGCCAAGGATTTTCAATCAGGTTTAGATTAAGACTCTGGCCTGCCATTTTATTATTTCAGTCTTTTCAGCTCGAATTAACTGCTTTACTTGTTTGCTGTGTGACGATGATCATTGTCCTTCATACAAATTGCTGTCTGATTGAGTGATGAATGCAGGGAAAGACCTGCATGTTTCTGATAAACTTGCAAAATCATCACATTTACTCTGTAATGTAGCTTAATACCAACCCTAAGCTCAATGTGTTGTAGTGAACACCGCGCAACCAAAAGACTTCAACTCTATCTTTTGAAAACTTAATATACATAATTTATCTTCAGTCATTTCCACAAAAGATACATCAAGGCACTGTATGCTGAGACAGATTCTTATCCTGTTCAGAACTGAACTGGTGTTCATTTCCAGCTACAGTAAATGAACCTATCGTTCATTAAGATTCTCCACTTTATTCTGTGCTCTTGTACATTTGTCTTTTGTGGATGTGAATGAGTAAAAGTCATTGTAAAGATGCAATATTCTTGTAATGACCTTGTAAAAGAGGATTTCCAACACTTTAGAAAGGCTAACCAGAAGGTAAGGCTGCCGGAATATGTAACTCATGAAATATACTTAGAAATGCCCTTTTTACTGCTGTTTTGATCAAATGGATTTGAACTGTTTTCAAACATAAGAATTCACTGTATTCACAGAGCTTTTATTATTATGTTTTATTATACATTTGTGTCTGGGACAATGGTAAAACATTGAAATCTAAACATGAAAGGTATTCAGACGTAGTAAAAATAAATGACGAATGCATGATTAAAAGTTACAAAGTAGTTACTCTTTAATAGGTAAGCTTTCTTGAAGATTTGTTAGTTGTAATAAAACCAATACCTAAGACATGATAGTGCCGAAGGATGAAAAAGAAAAACAACCGCCTACTTTAAAATTCAACTGCAGTTTGCATGTGCACAGTGTTTGGGGTTGTATTTCTGAAAGTTGAAGGTTGAATCTAAAGGTCAAATCTGGAACATTGTTTGCCTCTTTTTTATCACTCACACAAATCACTCATTTAATGGTTCTCTGAGACCAGTTAACCCCTTATCATTTCCACCATGAACTTTTAAAGTGTTTTACAACACTTGCGGTGCTTGACCTATCTTCTATATCTTCTCACTGTTCCAGCAGGAGGACTTGAGGACACCTATTTCTGTACAACACAGGATTAACTCCTGAAATACACACTACTGTACAAATAGTGTCTTTTAACTAACTGCTTGAAAAGATTGGTATAACCCAGACAAGTTTATAGGGTTAATTCAATTAACTTGTTTGTCTTCACATGTTCAACAAGCTAAATGCCCTCATTTTGGTTTCAACACATTTTACAGACAGTAAAAACTCAAATTTGACTAATACATTTCTGAATGACTGTTTACAAGTGTACTGTGTATGAGTATTGTTTACTGTTGTCTTTTTATTAGACTTTGGGAATGTTTACTGTCTCCTGATAGATGTGTTTGTTTTCTCCTGATTTTGATTTTGTCTATTGCCATGTGATGTGTTAAAAATATTTTTAAACAGTTAATTAAACTTTAATTCATAAAGATTCAATATTCAGTATTATTTTTTATAAAGTTTCATTTCTTTTAGTTAATTTTTGGTTTTTCAGCTTGGCTACTGAGCAAACAACTGTTTAACAATGACTTCCTTAATTAACCGAGTTGAGCCTTTACAATTACATGTATCTTGTAAAATAACTAGTAAAATATAAGCTTTCAAACAGTACATGAATAATGATGCATTAATATGTAAACTTAACATTACTTCATTATGGACTAATGATGCGTTAATGTATGCGCTAATTATTAACTAACTTTAACTACAACATGAGTCATATGAGTTAATGCGTGAATAACAGCTACAATTATTACTAGTTAGTGCTTGTTTGTTAATTAATGTATTAATTACCACAATGGTTAATTTAGATAATAATTTAACCAGGGCAAGGCAGTGGCGGAGTAGATAGTGCTGTCGCCTCTCAGCAAGAAGGTTGCTGGTTCGAACCTCGGCTCAGTTGGCGTTTCTGTGTGGAGTTTGCATGTTCTCCCTGCCTTCGCGTGGGTTTCCTACCGGTTTCCCCCACAGTACATGCGGTACAGGTGAATTGGGTAAGCTAAATTGTCTGTAGTGTGTGAATGTGTGTGTGGATGTTTCTCAGAGATGGGTTGCGGCTGGAAGGGCATCTGCTGTGTAAAACTTGCTGGATAAGTTGGAGGTTCATTCTGCTGTGGTGACACTGGATTAATGAAGGTACGAAGCCAACAAGAAAATGAATAATTTAACCACCAGGAACTCATGTTATTTTTATGTATAATTATTTATATCATGACTTTACTTGGAGGGGCACATTATCATTAACATCATCATTCCTAACTACTCATGATCTCTTCATGCACATCCATCTAGTGCATTTACACTGAATAACAATGGAAAAGTGTTTTGCCGACACCAACATGAAAAGTTCAAACACAGGAGTTCACGAAGGATGAGTTAATGGTGATGTGTCTCTTCAAGTAAAGCAATGCCATAATTATACATGAACAGCTCATGAGTTCATGTTGGTTACTTTTAACTTAAACTTATATGTTAATTAATGCGTTAATTAACAACATGTGCTAACAAGTAATTAGGGTTACCATTTAGGCATGGGGCGTTATAAGATTCTGACTGTATGATAACCTTGGATAAAAAAAAAATCACGGTTTCATGGTATCACGGTATTGTGATTACTGCTCTGAAATATATTCTTTTTAAATGTAAAAAAACCTACTTTTTCCCCTTTAAAAACAATACTTTTTTTTTGTTAAAGATTTATAATATTTTAAAACAGTAAACATGTCATGATAAATAATAAAACGAATCATTGACCTCTGCGGTCTTTGTTTGTTTAAAAAAAAAAACAGATATCTTTGCAATTTAAAACAGCATCTTTGGATACTTTTTTTTTCCTGCTGGAGAGTTGTATTTAAAAACAAAACAAAAAAAAAAACGTAAATAAAAAAATCTTACACCTTAGGAACAGTTTTACAGAAAATTTTGCAGTTTAAAACTGAATTTTTCAAACCACAGTATAGCTTGAAACTCATTTACTCATGAACTTTTATGACTTGTTGTAGTTAAAGTTAGTTCATGATTAGCACGTGCCTTAACTCATCATTAATTCATACCGTTTAGTTTATATAATATTTAGTGTTAAATGTTTAGTTTACATATTAATACATCATTATTTATGCCCTGTTATTGTAAAGTGTTAGCAGGGCGGTAATTGGGCTGGAAACTAACAAAATAATGAGGATCGGGGTGGGGGGACTACGGTAGTTTCTTGGAGCAAAAAACAAAACAGGAAGATGGCGGGAGATGGGTGTGAAATACGGGAGACTCGGGAAAAACGGTAGTGTTAGCAGGTATGGCTACAAGTCACTGGAAAATAATGTAAATGCTGCTCTCAGCCAGATATTATTTCTCAGAGTCACCACTAGATGGGGTCAGTATTTATCCAAATATAAACCAACCGGAGAGCAAGAACCTGTTGCTTTCAATTCAGAAGTTTTTGGTTGTTCCATAATTCTGTATATCCATGTATGACTAATTTTAGTTATGTGTTTTCACTTAATTTGACTGTTGTCATGTTTGTTTGCTGCTCCAGAATATGCAACACCATTATCCATTAATCAGTCTGATAAGTGCTTGTCTTGTAGGAGTTGAAAACAAGCGAAAGTTTGTTATGGGTGGAGAGCATCTTTATCATCAAGCCTAGATTAGACACACTGAATTACTCATATGTATATATAGCAGGTATCTTTATGATTCGTCTAATACAAATGAGTTTTATGGTCACTTGGTTTTGCGCTGTAAAACATGAAAGGAGGAGACACTGAGATAAAGCTCTGTTATAAAAAGCTCCATCGAAATACCACCATGAAAGACACTGGCCTGTTCTTTAGCTGTCGTTCTGGTCCAAATATTAAGGATGAATTTTCTCTGTCTTTCCACACTTGCTATTTTATGCAGGCTTGCTTCAAGTGCAGGTAAGTGTGGTCAATTATTATTAAAAATGTGACATTTACTGCTAAACATATTTGTGCAGAGTTTAGTGGCACATTGAGTCCATCCGTATAATTTTAGCTTTTAGTTTTAGGGTATTCATGAACATTTTTACTGTACACCTTAAAAGGCCTAGTCAAATTATGTTTCTGAGTACTAAATATTATTAATAATTGGTTTATGGGCTGTTTATATATTTATGAAAGTCTTAGAAAATAAGTTGTTAAATTAAATTTGAAAACAAAAAAGGATAAAGAAATGATAGACTTAAATGTATTTGAAGGTTGTAGTTGTCCTGTTGTCTTTTTAACTGAATGAGTCTGTAAGTTTTTATGCATCATATATTAAATCTATAAGTTTTAATAAAATACTTGTACAATGGGTTAACTTTTTTCTTTCTTTCAGAATGGTGTTATCAGACCCAAGTAACTTGCTCCAATCACTCATGCATAGGTGAGCATTGCATGTTTAAATGTTTTGTATTAAATTATTAGAACAAATGCTTTTTATGCTTTTGTGTTTATTTTTATACAATTATTTAATATTTAATAATTATTCAAAATATTATTGTTATCTTAAATATTAATAATAATTGCAGGTATTTACATTTATTAAAATATCATGCATTAAACTGATTGAAGAATCCTAAAAGAATCATCACATTTCTACAAAACTTATTAAGCAGCACAGCTGTTTTAAAACGTAATGATAATAATAAGAAATGTATTGTGTGCACAAAATGAGTGTATACCAAGTAATTTTTTTTGTAGTGAAGATAAACCGAACATTCTATTTCAGCATCGAATTAGAAAATGTACCTTTTGCATTTACTCTGAACATTCTAAAACGGCTACAACAAAAATAATCATCACAACAGTTTTCAAAGTAATAATAAAAAAAATTAAAAAAATTGATGACATGAGCACAAAATTAGCATGATCAGAATCATTTTTTATGACATTAAAGTATTTCTGGAGTAATAGCTTTACCATCACAGGAATAAGTGACATTTTTTTAAAATATTAAAATAAATTTTTTATTGTAATATTCCCTAATTGTAAGGGTTTATTAACTAATAGAAATCTTTTAATCACTTTTTATACCATATTGTGTGTGACAAATATACTGTTTTACACAGGACCAGATGACTGGGCAACAGTAGCCGCAGCGTGTGGAAACAATAAACAGTCGCCAATTAACATTGTTACAAATAAAGCTTCTACAGACAGTCGACTGACCCCAGTACAGTTTACAGACTATCAAGAGAGACTCAATGCTGTGATTGTAAACAATGGACATACAGGTACGTTTTACTTTAGAACATGGAAAATAAATCCCATGGGGGAAAATTGAATTATTATTATTAACTGCATCTCATAAACACTGTTTTGTCATTTTAGTGCAAATTAACCTGCCAGACAGAGCAAAAATTAATGGGGCCAATTTAGGATCCACTTACAAAGCTCAGCAGCTTCACCTGCACTGGGGCAAGAATGGAGGACCTGGATCAGAGCATACCATTGATGGAGAGAAATTCCCTATGGAGGTATTAAGACCTGTTCAAAACAGGAACAATGACTATAAACATAATCATAAAGAAAATAAATTAGTGTCACTCCACGCAAGGCATGATATCATTCTGTTGATTAGAAGTGCACAGTACAATTTGTTTGAATGCTCAAACATACTGTCCATCCTAAAATTGGTGGCACAGTGGGTAGCACTGTCACCTCACAGCAAGAAGGTTGCTGTTTCGAGCCCCCAGCTGGTTCCGTTGGCATTTCTATGTGGAGTTTGCATGTTTTCCCATGGGATTCATCTGGGTGCTCCGGTTTCCCCCACAGTCCAAAGACATGCGCTAAAGGTGAACTGGGTAAATTAAATTGTCCGTACTGTATGTGTGTATGTCCTTGTCCTCCAGGTTGGGGGTTGAGCATTGGGCTAACGACCCACCTTGTAAAAATTAGATCTTACGAAACACCAACATGGTGCGGCTAAATATTAACTTTGATATAAACAGCCCTGGGAGTAAGAAAGTGTCAAATGTTATAGTATTTTGAATTGAATACATCTGGTCTATTATTGCTGGTACAAATTGGAAATTTAAACCTTTATATTCTTCAGTAGCTAATGTTGCCCACAGCACATTTTAAGGTGGATTAGGATCCACAAATGACCGATTATCTCCGATTTGGTTATTCAGCGATTGTTTCTAGTACAATAATGCCAACACGATGACATTATTCAATCAGCATACAAATAACATGACTTTACACTTTCCCTTTGCATGCAGCACATATGCCAAAATTCTTTTTTGCTTGCATATGATGCGTCAGTCTTTTTCATTAAAGCTTGTGGAGAACCAACATGAACAAGAGACCCTAAGATCTCTTGGACTTAAAGGGACAGTTCACCCAAAACTGAAAATTCTGTCATCATTTACTTCACTTGTCACAAACCTGTTTGATTTTCTTCTTATCAGTTGAATACAAGAAAAATTTTTAAAAAACAAATCCCATGGAAGTCATTGGTTACCAACATTAATGGAGGTTTCCCATGTTTTAAAAAATAATTTATTGGTTTCTGGTTTCTAACATGCTTCAAAATAATTATTTTGTGCTCAAATGAAAAAAGAAATGCATAAAAGATTTGAAAACACTTGAAGGTGAGTAAATCTATAATTTTGGATGAACTATCCCTTTAATGTCCACCCTCACACATACAAATGAAGGTGTGCTTTTGCCAAGTACACAAAGTAGTGCGATTCTGGATAAACATCTATACTGATCCTGGAACATCTTTTTTGTTAAGAATGTAACCCATACCTAATCCCATAACTGTAAATATTCCCAAAATCAGAGGGGAATAGTAGTTGGATAACAATCATATAGAAGTACATAACCCTAGCTGTAAGCCTAAACTGAACATAAACTGTAAATGTATCCCTTTGTTCTTATTGGCTAATTGGGATGTTGCTCTAAAATCAATATAGATGTTAATCCAGCAATATGTCCTACTTGGTTAAATAACAATAACAATAGCCCTAGAAGTTGATAGAGGCAGACCACACTTATTATGAGAATAAGTGTGGCCATATATAGTGTTTGTGTGAAACTTTTGGTGTCACTCACTTCTAGTTAAGTGTACAAAACAGACTTTTATGCTGCTTAATGCGACAAACTGGTTTTCTTATATTATTTTGACCCCTCGTCATAATCATAAACACAGTGTTTGTTGCCCAAATAATTGGAGCACTTTACTGCACCAGTTTACTTTTAGCAGCAAATTGTAAGTCTTGCACATTCACTGAAGATAGTTTACTGATGCTATGCACGATTAGGTTGATGTACAGTTTTTGTTGCTACTTTTCAATAAGGAAATTCATGCTTTTTTACCTTTTAACAGCTTCACGTTGTACATATAAAAGAAGAATACAACTCTTTAGAGCAGGCTGTGGGTGACTCTTCTGGAGTGGCTGTTCTTGGGTTTTTCTATGAGGTAAAATGAATAATTCTTTTCATGTATAAATGTTTGTTATTTATAGATAATACATGTGTGTTGTTTGTATCTGTCTTATCTTGCAGGAATCAGAAAATGCTAATAAAAATTATGACGCTATCATAAATTCTCTGACAAACATTACACATCCTGGTGAGATTTCCATCGTCTTTTTAAATCTATCTTCAAAGCTTTATTGCTTTAGTGTTATTATTTATTGCTTCTTGTTAAGGTCTTGTATGATGTATAACAGCGCTAAAGTCACTCAAGGTCACACTATCTCTAATATGGGAGGACACTTTCCTATAAGGCCATTTTAATGTTATTAGTCAAACAGACTATATTTAGAAAGTAAAAAAGGAATGCAATAACTTAGTAAAATGACTATTTCAGAAAGCAATGCAGCACTTGGAGCCATATCATTAGACATGCTCATTCCTAATGAAGACTTGGACAAGTACTTTCGCTACGAGGGCTCACTCACCACACCGGGATGTGCTGAAGCAGTGGTCTGGACCATTTTTGAGAAAACTATACCACTCAGCAAGGAACAGGTGATTTATTATATGTTTAAACAATTATAAAGTTCAAGTACAATAACTATGACAACTATACTAGTGTCCACATCAACATAATGATAAGATAAGGTTGTGTTGATTTTAAACAGTGCACTTCAGTAAAAGTACAGATACCCTAATAAAATATGACCCCAGTAAAAGTATAAAGCCCTCTTTTTCAATTTTAAGTACTAAAATAGTAGAATGCTATGTAATGTTTAATGTAGCACCAAAATTTGTTATATATATATATGAGCAATAGTACATGAGTAGCAATGTGAATTGGCTGTATATTGCAGGTGTGTGTTGTCTTAGTTTCCCACCACTGCCGATATACAGCCATATCCCACTGCTACGAGTGTGATATTGTGTTTATACAACAGTTTGACGACATGATCACATATCTAAAAAAGAAAATCACGGACAGACTAAAAATCCTTTTGTATTAGGAACTACTTTGTTCCACCATTCATTCACATCTGCAGCAGAAACTGTTGCTCATTCACCAACATCTCTTTAGAGCTAGTATTTGTATGATTCTCCAGCGTAATGTCTAAAGTGATGACAAAACAGGTGATTTTGCTCATATTTTAAGATTAAAAGGCTGAACGGCATGAAATGCCAGTATTTCTCTGTTGTAATTGGGATATCACAATAATTAACCCCGAAAAGCCAAAGCAAAGCACTACAGCACTACAACATACAAAAGAAAGAGATTGACTTAGTCACTTACCTGTCTTATAATGATTTGATCAGCTGTAGTTTGAAATTACGCTTTTTAAAGTTTTTTTCCTCTAAGGGCTTATTATGTGGTCTCTGTCACCATCTTGTGGTGGAACGTCAATTGTTTTTGCTCAGTGACAGGCTGATTGATGCTGATTTAAATAAGTCACTATCCTTATTAATAAACTGCATAGTTGCAATCTAAACCAGTGGTTCTCAAAGTGGGGGTCGGGACCCCCCCAGGGGTCGCGGGGCAATGAAGGGGGGTCGTCTGGTGATTTCCAAAAATCTATTTATTGTTATTAAACCATAAGAATTAACATATTTTATCCATAACTATACTGAGAATAAAAATAGTCGTTTATAGTTACTATATACTATATAGTTACTATAGTAGCTTATAGTTACTAGTTCTATTGGATTGCGACCCCTGGGGTAATTACATTATATTAAAGGCAGCAATAGCGTCAGATGCATTTTGATTTTATAACATCAGGTTATACTTTCTGGGACATTTAAAGCATTGACACAAATTTAATTGGTGTGTCTGCGTCATTGCATGCAAGGTTTCTGTATTTATAACCACCTCAGAGGATATTGGGGGTCGCGAGTCACTAGCATTGTTATTTTGGGGGTCGCTGGCTGAAAAGTTTGGGAACCCCTGATCTAAACAACTACATTCTTGCATAAAAAAGCCTCAAAAGTATATTATGATGTCCAACAGCTGCAATATTTGTCAAACTGAAGTAAGTTTATTAATCTGCTGTCACTATGTGGGTGAAGTAATACATAACTACTTGGGCTGTAGGAGTTCTGATATTGCAGAATATCACACCGCTATCAGCCAATCCGATTCGAGAACCAGACAGAACTGTTGTGTAAATATATGTAGTGTTTTTATTTATTTTTATATATATAGTCTTTTTATTTACTTTTTTGTCATCACTACATTGCACACATTGAATCATAATTATCAGATTGACGATTTAAGTGCGCAAAGAAGTGATTACAACTAAATAAAAACATATAGTATATACAGTTGAAGTCAGATTTATTAGCCCCCCTGAATCATTAGCCCTCTGTGTTTTTTTCTCCCAATTTCTGTTTAACGGAGAGATGTTTTTTTAACACATTTCTAAACATACTAGTTTTAATAACTCATTTCTAATAACTGCTTTATTTTATCTTTGTCATGATGACAGTACATAATAATTAACTAGAAATTTTTCAGGACACTTCTAAACAGCTGAAAATGACATTTAAAGGCTTACCTATGTTAATAAGTTATGCAGCTTAGGGTAATTAAACAAATTATTGTGTAACAGTGGTTTGTTTTGTAGACTATCAAAAATATAAATAGCTTATAGGGGCTGATAATATTGGCCTTAAAATTGATCTTAAAAAAAACTAAAACTGCTTTTATTCTAGCCAAAATAAAACAAATAAGACTTTCTCCAGAAAAAAATATTTATCAGACATACTGTGAAAATGTTCTTGCTCTGTTAAACATCATTTGGGAAATATAAAAAAAATCAAAGGGGGGCTAATAATTCTGACTTTAACTGTATATACATATGTATGTATGTACTTTATTTGTCAGTTATACAATGTAAAGAATGCATAACAGGACAAAAGTTTCAATATATAAAAATATACTTTTCATTTAATAAATCCCAAAAAACCTACTTTAGTAAATTACATTTCAAGCACTCAAGCTGAGAGGATCTCCAGTTTCTGAATCAGTTTGCAAATTCAATGAATCACTTACTAAAACTTACTCAAACAGATCATTTGAATCAGTTTGTTAACTACAGACTCGCTTTGAATGGATCATTTGAATCAGTGAGTTTGTGGCTGCGTCCGAAACCGCCTACTACTCAGTAGGTACTGAATTTGAATTTAAACATACTTCTCAGCCGTTAGAAAAGTACGTTCTATACAGTATGAATGTGAGAGGTATGAATGGAATTCGGACGTACTACATCCGCCATTTTGTCATAGTCACGTGACGTACCTGTGTAATTTGCGTCGCTTTACTCCCATTCATGAGTTCCCTCGCGGTGCATCATGGGATAGCGCAGCATGCATGGGATGCGCACTCCAGAATCTCGCCGGAAGTAGTAAGTCATCCGGGTACTTCTCGCATACTGTTTTTCGAATTCTATGAATTCGGACATACTACTTGGCTCACATACTGATTTTAGCGTACTATATAGTATGGAAGTATGCATTTTCGGACGCAGCCTGTGACTCTGGAACATCCAGGTGTAACACGGGGAGTGACACAGACAACTGAAGTAGGATCCATGTGCAGGTTTATTCAGAGTCAGGCAAGCAATAGTCAACACAGGTGCAAACAGATGTATAGAGGCAGTCCAGAATCGTAGTCAAATAACAGGCGAGAGGTCGTAAGGCAGGTGGCAGACTAAGACAAAAAGGCTAAAGTCAAAACACAGGAAAACAAGACTAGGAAACGCTAGGGATTGCTGACGTGAAACTGATGTTTCGACACAGTGTCGAGATCCCCAAGTGCAAGTGTTTCGAAACACTGCACTGAAGCATGATCCGAAACAACCAAGTCACATGACTAAAGTGTTTCGAAACACCTGGTCACGTGACTGAAGTGATTCAAAGCATCGATCAGCCTAGAAGCATTTCGAGACCTGGCAAATCTGCATTTGACTGCCATGGTCAGGAATTACTCCTAACTTATGTGGCCTAGTGGACTGTGTGTGTGCATGCTGTTACTATGCTTCGAATGACTTTTGGGTTCAAATCGCGACTTGTACAAATACTCCGAAATCATGGTTTTATGTATTTTATCATGTTTCTGTTTTGTGAAGCCTAAATAGGATACAGCTGCAGTTGCGCCATCAATTTAGCATCATTTTTGTAACACTGTAAAACTAGAATTAATATTTTTACAGTACTGTGATGGTTGGGTTTTGGGTAGACGTTAATAAAATACAATAAATGGGAAATTTAATGAATAATATAAATAATTCTTGATAACTTCAGGCCACAGTGTCTGATCTAGCAACAACCCTGTTTTAAGACCAAAACAAGACATATTTATTCACAAAGTACTTATTCAGTTGTCAGATCAATGTTAAAACAAAACGATACAAGAACAAAGCATTACCAACTGGTGTTACATTTCAAAATAGCTATATCAGGCTGGACTCGAAACCACTATCTGCATGGTAGTCAGACACCTCCACTAAATTACTTAAAGGGCCATGAAACCCCCTCGTTTCAGCAGTGTGTTTTCACACCTCTACTTTGGAAAAAGTCAGAAAAGTGGGCGTGTCCAGCTCTGTTTAGGGGGGAGTGTCGGAGGAAGAAAAGCGGCTTGGTATGGGAGTGTCTATTTGGGCGCGCTGAATTTCAGAGTCAAACACACAACCACAGCGGACAATGTGACTGTGTTTACATGGACATCTGTAGTCGAATTATTTGCCAAATTATTAAATGGTGGACTTTAACTGCAGTTTGGCTCTTTCATTCAGGGAATTCATTCATGTCCCTCCCGACAAACGTGATATTTGATTCGAGGCGCTGCTCTAAGCGTGTATTTTTCATGCAATGTTTGATACCGCACGGCGAATGAGAGAAAAAAAATCTCAGCATTTCCCGGAAACTTAGATGCACACGGCAGGTAGCGTCAGAAAGCCGCATATGTTATTCCGGTCACAAAATCCAACACGAGGTTATAGTTTGGTTGTAACTGTTAGTGCTAACTATTGCACTCGGTGCAATAGTTTGTTTGATACGAATACAATACGAACTGAATAAACAAAGAGCACAGGTCGCTCACTTACCAAATCTGTAGAGACAGGACAATCACCAGCAACTAGAGCCGCGTCTTTATTTAGAGGAGACTACAAGCGAATCTGGATCTCAGCGTTTGCATATGAGAACAGCTCTCAGGTAAACAATAATCCTCCTTAGACACGTAAGTTATTGTTGTCGCGCGTCGCGTACACTGTTAATCCACGCGTGAGTCTGCGCTCTCACAAAGAGAAAATGAAAACGAAACTTAACTGCAGCAAACTATAAAAGCAACACTTCACGCTTGTTTTGCCAACACACCGTGGCGTCTTTGCCGTCTACACTGTGACAGTAATGAATATTAATGAAGTTGCACAATAAAGCGCGCTGATTGGTTTGAACCAAGCCTTACTCATGCATTAATGCAACACACTGTAAGACGTAATAAGACTCACTCTGGCACAGACGCCCAGTCTGCACACTGGAATACACGCTATTATGTAATGACCGTGACGCAGCTTCAAAAATTAGTTTCAAACAGGAAGTACGAATTTGCTTGAAATAACGCAAAAACAACCAATTTACACTTTTTAGTGAAATATAGGTGTCCTAATAGTGTTTTTAGCAGTGTGGGACACATATACGACTGTCAACAGCTCAAAAAATGTGTTTTGGTGTTTCGTGACCCTTTAAAGGATAAACCCCTACAAAGTGGGGTTTAATACCTCAATTTGCTCAACTGTTCTTTGCTGAAGCTGTTTCTGTGCAATACATTAAAAAATGACCTCTAGGTGTCACTGTAGAGTGGGGTTTCGAAACGTTTCGAAGCTTTGACACATTTGCTTCGACTGTTTCAGGGTTTCATAAAGCCTCGCTTTGCCCGCCACTAGGAAACACATTGTAATGTCACTATACAGATGAACAAGACTCAGCAATGGTGTTTGTGTTTGAGCAGTATTTATGGTTCATGAATCAGTCCTTGAGCAGCTTCAGCTGTGCGAGTGTAATCAGTGGAGACTTGGAGCAGGTGTGTGTGTGTTTGTGTGTGTGTGTGTGTGTGTCATGACTGAATATGTAGTCCATTAACAAGCAGATTTGTAGTTCTATGAGTGTGAATGTTTTCTAGCAACCTCTGGTGGTTAGAGATCGCTGTGATCATGACACCAGGCAAGTCTGTGGAGTTCACAGTTGAATTGCTCTGTATAATTTGTCAACTGGTCAACAATCAGGTCAACTGACAAGATTCAGCTTGTTCATGATTCAGAATATATTTCATGTCTCTCAACAAATGAGGATTTCTGTTGATGATAATTTTTTTATGAAATGATTTCTATGATGAACTCTAATAAACTACATATACTTACAAAATAACTTTGATAAGTGCAGAAAAATGTGCACTGCATTTCTGTCATCTGCTTCTTTAAATCCTTAAGGTGGTTTGCCCTGTTCAAGTGCTGTTCATAATAGTTGTGGTGTGGACATTGCTATTTGTTGACATTTATCTTTATAATGTGTTGTCATTATGGTTATTGTCTTTGGTGTGAATTGCTCTGAATACCATCTTATCTTTGTCTTGCAGCTTTCTGCATTTTCAAACTTGACGTTTTCAGACGGTGCGGCCATGGTAAACACATTCCGACCCATTCAGCTGCGTTACGATCGTCCGGTGTATTATTCGAGGAGTTACATCTTTCATGTTAGCACTATCTTACTGGTCAGCTCTGTTTTCACATCCCTCTGTGTTCTCACGGTCTGATTTATGCTTATCTCTTCAGAAAGTTATTTATCGCTCATCAATAATTTAAAAAAAATCTGAGTTTATTTATTGCATGTCGTTCAGCCATGTGTGCCTTCAACAGCCCTAAGCACTGAAAAAACTACTAGGACTTACTTTTAGACACTTTTCACTATTAATTACAATGAAATGGCAAGTAATAACCAAATAAACATGGTATTTTAAGGCAGAGATAATTTCTTGTAAGGAGTGCTTGCAATTTCACAAGTTTAGGGTTTTAAAAGTTACATATAACTATTGTAACATCTGTATATAATGTAGTATAATTCCAATTATTTAGTTTTGTATGTCAATTGTTTCTGCAAAATTTCTCCCAATTACAAGAAGGCAAAAGAAAAAAAAAGACTATCTTTTTACTCTCTTTGTGGAAGGTAAAAATTACCAGGTGAAAGTGAGAGTACATAGAGGAACATGGTTACATTTTAATGTGTGACAGGCAATGCTTCATAACTGTGGTTGTTTGGGGAAATGAATGATTATAATTACTGTACTGTGTAGCTAACCGTTCAGTCTAAACTGTAACACAATAAAACAACAAACAAGCAAAAAAAAGAAATGAACAAATAAATGGTCTAATTGTTTTTTTTTTACTATACTATGAATAATTAAGTCTATAAAACAGTCTGAACACGTTCTACTTAGATTTTATTGCACCTGTTATGGTTATATGGCATAAAACAGAAGTGCTTTGTCATTGGGCAGATTCTTAGAAAATAGATGATTCATTGACAGACCATAGTTGAGTGACTGAATGTGGGTGCTACTGAAAACCGGCGACAACCATAAGAAGAGCTGAGAAATAAAAAGTAAAAATGTATTTATAATTTAAAAAAAAAATAAAATTACTGAAACTACACACAACAGCCTGAGCAAAATGCTAATTTTAGAAGAACATTTCAGACGGCAAGTTTGGGGTCAGTTTTTTTCTTTTTTTAACGAAAAAACTTCTGTTCATCAAGCCGGCATTTATTAAATGTAAAAATATTGTTAAATTGTTACATATTTGTTTAATAAATATTGATTTATTATTTATTGTATGTATTTTCAAATGAAATTATTAATCCAGTCATTATTGTTTTTAAAACTATGACCATTAATAATAATAACATTAATAACTAATATTAGAGTGATTTCTCCCAGTGTTTGCGTGGGTCTCCTCCTGGTGCTCTGGTTTCAGACATAAGTCCAAAGACATGTGGTATAGGTAAATTGGGTAGACTAAATTTCCTGTAGTGTATAAGTGTGTATAGATGTTTCTCAGTGATGGGTTGCAGCTGGAAGGGCATCCGCTGCGTAAAACATTTGCTGGATAAGTTGGCGATTCATTCCGCTGTGGTGACCCCAGATTAATGAAGGGACTAAGCCGAAAATAAAATGAATGATGAATTAGAGTGATTTCTGAAGAATCATGTGACTGGAGCAATCAAGCTGAAAATTCATCTTTTAAATCACTGAAATCACAAATTTAAATCACATATTTTACAATATGTACTGTGTGTATCATTAAATAAATGCAGCTTTGGTGGGCATAATAAGCTTATTTTAAAAACATTTAAAAATCCTACTGACCCCAAACTTTTAAATCATAAATTTATATATATATATATATATATATATATATATATATATATATATATATATATATATATATATATATGTGTGTGTGTGTGTGTGTGTGTGTGTGTGTGTGTCTAGAAAAAAACAAGCTTGTAAATTCATTGGGGTTTAACAATGCATAAAAAAATCCATACAATTTCCTTTAATTTCCATTTAAATGAGGTTATAGCACATCTGTTACACACTTTTGAGCTTACATGTAAATTATTATAAATAAACTTTAATATTAGATCAGATGTGATTTTAAATTTTTTGAAATGTAGTCTGGGACAAAGTGCAAGCTGATATTCCTAAAGCAATATCAAAATTAGCATTTTAGAATAAGTATCAATGGCAGTTTTGGCTTCAGGAGTATTGTGTAAGCGTCTGATGAGGTCAGTACTGTCCACCCATGTTCAGAAATGAACAAATAATCATACACATACCAGCTGTACCTATATTTGATGAAATGGTTTTTATAGTTTGTGTACACACCTTTATATCACTCAAAAACTGCATATCAAAAAGTTTATGTAACTGCCTTGTGGTAGAAGAACTTTGGACCTGGCAACCCTGTGATCACTGCACAGCCCACAGTTAGATGTCCAGTGCTTGATCTAGACTTGAGAGAGAATAGTTAGCAACATGGATCGCTGGAAAGGCAGAGTTGCTCTTGTCACTGGAGCTTCAGTAGGAATAGGAGCTGCAATCGCAAAAGCTCTTGTCCAGCATGGCATGAAGGTGGTCGGATGTGCCAGAAATGTGGAGCAAATAGAGGTACAGTACAAGCGAACAACAGCTTTAGCCTGGTTTGCTACTGGATACACATTAATCGCGTGTTCTTTTGCAGAAACTGGCGGCTGAATGTGTCAGTGGCGGATACAGCGGTGCTCTGTTTCCATATAAATGTGATCTTTCAGTAGAGGATGAAGTTTTGTCCATGTTCTCCTGGATTAAGGCTCAACATAAGGGTGTTGATGTGTGCATTAATAATGCTGGTTTAGCTCTGCCAGAGCCTCTGTTGAACGGCAAAGCCAGCGGCTGGAGGACTATGATGAACGTAAGTAAATAAATTGCGTGGTGATTTGAAACGACACAGCCAGCAGTTTGTTTTGGCGAATCGGTTTAGAATTATAGTTCAATTGTAGTAGTGAGCCGGTTCAACCGAGTCAGTGATTCAGTGACGTCAGCACGTTCTTTTTTTTGTATCCCATTTTTTTAATACATGGAGGTCTTTCCTTTTATTTTAAAATGTTATTATCTATTTAATATATTGCCAATTGCACTGTGAAAAAGAACCCACCAGGTTCTTCTTTCTTGGAAATTGTGTTATTCCCACACTTTCTCACTACATAAATAAAAAACTCTGATATTGGAATTAGACATAAATTTATTTTTCTATCCACGTGGTTTAACAGAATTGTAATTAGGATTCTTTCAATTTTTGATAAGTCTGGCAACTTTTATGAACAATTTATGTCTGATAATAATTTTCCATTACCTTTTAAAGAATTTAATGCTGTGCAAAAAAAGCAATTTCTGCAGGCCTAATTAAAATTAGTCTATTTGACAGCAATGTAATAATAAACATATTCAACAAATTTTCCCAAATAAAAGGTATAATGTCTCTAAGGGCAAATTGAACTGGGCATTTTTCATTGACCTAATAGACTGAAAAAAAGCCTGGCTTTTATCTCATCTGTACTGCATTTTCAATAAAACACAAGAGGTTAATTTTAAAATTCTTCATAAAATATATTCAGTGAATAGTATTTTGGCAAAGTACATGGAGGTTGATAGTACATGCTCGTTTTGTAAAACTGAAGACGAAACCCTGATTCACATATATTTTCAGTGTGAAAACACAAAAAGTTTTTAAAGTAGCAGCTTATATCTCCATATAGGTAATTACATCGCTTCTTCCAGACCCTTTCTACTACAAGATAGTATGTGTTGCTATAAAGTTAAATCTGCCATATCAGACAACTTTATTATTATCTTTTTTATTTTGTATGGAAAATATTTTATTCACAGCATTCTCCAATGCGCAGCCTTCTTTTTTACATTTTGTTAATAGAAATTGATGTTTTTATTAAATCTCTAAGACTGGATAAAAACAATAAAAGTGATAGGTTCTTGGATTATTATGATAATTATTTTATAAATATCACAGAGACATAAGTCCTTTTTTCCTTTTGCTGTATTTGTGTTATTTATATATTTGTTTAATGTTTTTTTCTTTTTTTTCTTTTGTTTCTCTTTTATTATATTGTTTCATATATGTTTATAATATTATTTAACCTGATCTGTTATAATATTATCATTGTTACTATCATTGTCTTTTTTGTGTAAGATTGGATTTTGTATGTTTGTTATTGAAGTCAATAAAAAAAAATGTAAAACAAATATTTTTTAATGCATAAACGAATAACAGAACAACGCAATTATATATAAGTACATTGTCTCGATAAGCAAAACAAATTAAAATATAAAAGTAATACCCAAAAATAAAATTTAAATATTACAAATAATGCTAGGTCTTGCTAACTCACAATAACTTCCATGTGTCAAACATATACACAGCTTTTACAGCCTTTTACAGTTTGTACTCCCTGTAGCCCATCTTTTTTATGCGAGAAAGACACAAAATTAAGAGAAAAAAAGTGTTACATAAATAAAACCCTGCAAATAATACAAGTTTAAAAGATTTACACCAAGAACGAGTTTTTATGCAGTATAATTATTAGATTATTTTAAGAGTTTAGGTATAAATGAAAATCCTTTCTGAAAATAAATAAGCAAGGGTGTTTTTTTGAAAATGAACATTTATGGATGTAACATGTTGTCAGAAAGAGCAATAGCTGTGACCCTTTTTTATTATTAATGTCAGGGTAACAAAAACAGCATCATAAAAATGTGTTGCAGTTTTACAGAGAGGTAAAGCATCAAATAAACACATACAAGACACAAATTAACTAAAGAACAAACAACAGATAATATAAAAGACGTCAGCAGGTTCTCTCTGACCTAACAATGTTACTCTTGCTGTGTTTTGGCTTTAGGTATTTATTATAATTGCATTAAAGAGCATAAAGTTTGCTGCCGTGATTTAGCTTATAAATCGTTAAAACCCAAATATGTTTAGAATTTAGGTGGATGGTTCCAATTTTCAATAATTAGCCTAAACGAAGCAGCTCATTTATTAAATTGATAAAAACCATTTAAAACCCATTTTTAACCCATTTAATCCCAAATTTGTATAGAAAATTCACACAGACTTCACACCTCCCTTGTTTGTTTTTAGTTACATATTGGTCACAATTGTGACCTTTAACGCACTAGCAGGAAGTATCTAAACTTATCTGGTCAAGTGACATGAAACAATTTAATCAAATCAATCTTTATTCAAGTGAAAGTTGAATTCCTTGCCCAAAGTCATCAACAACATTTGTAGAGCTTCCAGAAAAACGACCTTATTAGAGAACTACTTACAGCATCAGAGATTACATAGTGTAGGTTCTGCATTTAGTTTGAAACTTTGTTTCTGTTAAAAAAGGGATGTTCAAATGTTTAGTCAAATTTCAATTTGGATGTACAACAAAGGTGACAGTTACACCCCATTTACTTGTTGTTCACAATAATTGCTCTGAATTCTGATTAATCACTTAGCTATTTTGTAGTGTACGTTGTGAAGCATTCATACTAAAAAGTTACTTTGTTTAGGTGAATGTAATTGGCCTGTCATTGTGCACCCGTGAGGCTTTCCAGTCCATGAAAGAAAGAAATATTGATGATGGCCATATCATTAATATTAACAGGTACAGGAGTGTTCATGTTTTTATGCCTGTATTCACATTTCAGCCAGGCAACAATGTTATTCAATATTATTAAATATTATCTTATGTTTTAGTATGTCTGGGCATCGGGTTGTAAACAGTGCCTATACACACTTCTACACCGCTACTAAATACGCAGTGACTGCTCTCACCGAAGGTTTGAGGCAAGAGTTACGAGAGGCCAAAACCCACATACGTGCCACAGTAAGAGCAGATTGAAGAACACATTGTGATTATTTTATATGTAATGATTTATTTGGTACTAAGAGCGCTTTTTCTTTAACAGAGTATATCCCCTGGTTTAGTGGAGACAGAATTTGCCTACAGACTCTTTAGTGAAAACCAAGACAAGGCTTCTGCCACCTACAAAAGTATAAAGGTATGAACAAATTGCCTTTATGCAACCTGTTGTACTTCATTGTGTGCTCCTTTTAATGATGAACACCTTCATGTCCAGTGCCTGCAGCCAGATGATCTAGCAAATGCAGTGGTTTATGTCCTAAGTGCTCCTCCTCATGTTCAAGTAAGCATTAATCAATAGAGATAAGATGTGTTTGTTGACATGGTTTGATATCAGCTGCTATAAAACGTCTATGTGGAAACACAATTGAATTATTTCATTTTTTTCCCTTCTTTATCTCCAGATTGGTGACATTCAGATGAGACCTGTGGAACAGCTGACATAACCAGATACAGTGTTCAGATTTCCTGCCTTATTAATCGTCCTGAAAGCTTTTAGATGGTTTAATCTTGTTACACATTTTAAATGTAGAGCTGACAGAAACAATATCCTCGTGAAAGATCTTTTTCACTCCAAATCTTATGAAATGCAAGAACACTTTTGTGACTGACTATGAAATTTTATTCATTTATTTTGTTTTCGGCTTTGTCCCTGTATTAATCTGGGGTCACCACAGCGGAATGAACCTCCAACTTATCCATCACATTTTTTTTTTTACACAGCGGATGCCCTTCCAGCTGAAACCCATCACTGAGGAACATCCTTACAAACTCATACACTATGGACAATTTAGCCTACAAAATTCATGTCTTTAGACTCGTGGCGGAAACCGGAGCATCCGAAGGAAATCCACTTGAACACGGGAGAACATGCAAATTCAACACAGAAACACCAACTGACCCAACCGAGGCTTGAACCAGCGACCTTCATGCTGTGATGCGAATGTGCTACCCACTGCATCGCCCACCATGAAATTGACATTTTATTATTATTTTAGTGATTTTCATTAATTGTATTATACAATTTTTATATACAATTTGTAAAATTATTCTTGGTGCAACAATTAAATCATCAGTAATTTGCCAAATGCAGAGTAAGTGCAATTTATTTTAATTGAATTTTATTATTTACAGACAAACTTCAATGTTTGTAGAAAAGCGTACTGTCTTACACTTACATCTGCTCTTCTGAGCTCTAATATTTTCAAGAGGTATAGTTTTTCCATTTTGACTAAGGACATCAAAGTTGGATCAGCCTGTAGTATGTTTTTCCACTTGAGTGTGACTCCAAATCCAGACCTCCATGGGTTAAATGAGATTTTCATTGATCTTTTTTGTAGTCAGCACATTCATCCTCTTACAATGGCTAACGTGGATGAGACAGAGGGAGTCTGTGGTTAAACATGACTGATTGTAATGAGATGCGTTTTGGTCAACCAGATCACAGGTAAATCAGAGACATTCCTGTTCAAATCTGGCATTAAAATAGGGTTAAAGTCTTTAGTCCATATCAGACCATGGTGTAGGCTACTGTACTTCTCTGATCTTTCAATCTAATACTGTGAGAAAAAAGAAGTTATTTATTTTGTCAAGGTTTGTACAGTTAGTAGTTAAGCAATTAAATACTTTATGAATATGTTATGCTTACCCTAATAAAGAAAGCTGGCTGTTTGGCATTGTTTTCTTTAGCCTATAAATACACAGTGTGCTATGATAGTACCGAATTCTGTTCTCTATGATTTATGAATTCAGATGATGATCCCCCCTGCCCTGAAATCTAAATTTTTAAAAATCAAAATTTTATTTGATAATGCCTGTACCTGTTTTCTGAACTCTGAACTTCTGAACTGAGTGTCATTTTGTCCAGCTTGATTTGTGATTATTTTCACAGCAAACCTCGTGTCCATAAACCCGTTGGTAATTCCACTATAAAGAAATGAGTAATATATATCCATCACATCATGTTAACTCATCCCTGAATATCATAAAACACTTAAATAAATAGTGAAAACTTTCACAGGTCGGTTTTGGCCTGTTAACCCTTCCAAGACTCATGTACACCACTTTTATGATTTGTGAAAACTTTCATAGGTCAGTTTTGGCCTGTTAACCCTTTTCACACTCCAGTTTTCACAAAGAATAAAAGTAATATATTCAGGGAAGGGTTAACTGGACAGAACTGATCTGTGAAAAAAAGAAAGAAAAAAATCTGTGAAAAGTTTTCACAAATCATAAATGCAGTTTACATAAGTCTGGGAAAAGGTAACTTGCAAAAATTAATCTGTGAATGTTTTTACAAATAACAAAAGCAATATATTGTAATTAAAGAAGGGTTAACTCAGAGCTTCTGGTAGTACCTAGAATAGCATAGTAGAGTAAAGGAGGTCGAGCCTTCTTATTTATGGCTCCTAAACTCTGGAATAGCCTTCCTGATAATGTGTGAGGTTCAGACACACTCTTGCAGTTCAAACTTGATCAAAGACATATGTTTTTAGTAAAGCATACATCACATAGCGGTATGATGCATAAATTTGCTCCACACAGGTTTCGCACCTCGTTTATTTATACTATGAACAGCAGTTACACTAATTATTCTCTTTATTCTCTATTTTCACCTGGGGATATACTCATCCCGAGGCCCTCAGAGATTATGCAGTGCCAATGATGTGATACTAGTCCAGCGATGAGATGATCCCAAGGTTTCTATAATACTGAACCAGGCTGTATCCTGAGCAGCTGCTATGGTGGACATGGAGTAGTGGAGAGCATGAGACTGCAGCTCTGCACAAGACGTTTGGCCATTGGAGAAATGGTCAAGCCCAACTGAGTCTGGTTTCTCTCCAGGTTTTTTAATTCTTCACTTTTGCCAATTGGTAAATTTTCCTTGCCGCTGTTGCCACTAGCTTGCATGGTTCGGGACCTGTAGAGCTGCGCATCGATGGATTTGCTCCTCAGTGTTTGGACTCTCAGTATTGAATATTAAACCACACTGAACTGAGCTAAACTGAAATTAAACTTTAAAAACTAGACTGACACTGTTTCAATTCATTATAATATTCTATGATTCTATTCACAATCTACATTGTAAAAGCGCTATACAAATAAAGGTGAATTGAATTGAATTAACTGACCAAAACTGATTTCTTAAAGTTTTCACAAATTATAAAAGTATTATGTTCAGGGAAGGGTTAACTGACTTAACCTGATCTGTGAATGATTTCACAAATCATAAAAGGGATTTACATGAGTTTGGGTCGGGAAGGGTTAACATGGCCAAAACTGATCTGTGAAAGTTTTCACAAATCATAAAAGTGTTCAGGGAAGGGTTAACTGTTCAAAAATATTCTGTGAAAGGTTTCACAAATAATCGAATTGTTGTATTGGAGTCTGAGGAAAGATTGACTGGTCAAAACAGATTTGTGAATGTTTTCATAAATAATAAAAGCAATGTATTATATTCAGAGAAGATTTAGCTATCCCGTTTAAAAGATGTTTAACGGGATGGAGCGCCTTTATTACTCAATTATTTATAGTGGACTAAACAAGGGGTTTATGGACAAGGTTTGCTGTGAAAAATTTCTCAAATCAAACTGGACAAAATGACACTGCACCCAGAACCCTGAGCACTGGAGTTGACCTAATGGAGGGAGAGAGTTAACCTACCAGCTCTTTAGTCAAAACCCCCTAAAAATGGCTGCTGGCATCTATAAAAGTACACTGAATAAAATTATGTCTTCAAAATTCTTTCAAATTATTTATATGGGTTGAATTTAAACAAACAAATTAAATTTAGTAATGTTCAGTTTAATTTATTTGTTTAAATTTAGCCCAAATAAAAAGTAAATTCAAGGAATCACCTTTGAAACATATATATATATATATATATATATATATATATATATATATATATATATATATATATATATATATATATATATATTTTTTTTTTTTTTTTTTTTTTTTTTTTTTTGTAGAGCTATGGACAAATCCTGTATCTCATGTTTTTAATGATTTTATTTTTGAGCTTACCTTTTTAATATTTAAAGTTTAATTTACAGTGCCTGCATAGGCAGATGAAATTGTAAACACTTTTGGGTAGAATTGATTTGCAATGTGAACTTTTTCCTTTTATTCTAGATTGGTGAGATTCAGATAAGGCCCGTGGAGCAGCTGACATGAACAGGATCAAGCATCTCTGACAGCTTAATCACCTCAAATGGATTATAAAATGTTACAGAGCAAACCACAGGAATGTACTGTACCTTTTTTACACTACAAATCTAAATGAACAGATCAGTTAGAACAGGATCAAACATCTCTAACATAAAGTCTTTAAATATGCTAAAAGTCTGCAGATTATCAAAGATTACAGGCATGTCCAATGTTATTGTATGTTATGTTGTAAAGTTAATGGCAAAGTCTCTCATATTTAAAATGTTTTCTTTAAGAACAGAAACCTGTCTAATGGCGATGTTAAGTGGCTGAAATGATTTGAGAAAATATGCTTGTGTTAATAAGTACAGTTTTGATTTAACTCTTGATTGGGTAAAGGACCATATGGTAACTTTATTTTTGCCTTGCAAACTTGTTTTTATGGTAGGCACGTATGATTTATATTCTTAAAGTCCCTAAGAAATCAAAACTAACCATATGATTTTGTAAACTCACATTGGTTTGTAATGAACAATTCATCTGGCTTGTCGTAAAGCAAAACAAAATGTTTGCCCTTCTAATCTTTACTTGAAATCTGAAAGTGCACTTCCTGATTGTTTTCAGTTACTTTATCAGATTACCTGATTTTGAGGTAATGGACATGGCTAATGCTGCTCCAACTGTTAGTTTTATCAACAAACAGGAATGGTGAGCAGGAGGTTTCTGTTAGTTTGTTATAACTCTTTTATAACCCTTTCCCGATCTTTCGGAATAAAACGCCCAGTGGTGTAAAGTAACTAATTACAAATACTCAAATTACTGTAATTGAACAGTTTTCCTCAGGAATTGTTATTTACTAAGTAGTTTTAAAAATGTCTACTTTTATTTTCCCTTGAGTCCATTTTTAGTGCTGTATCGGTACTTCTACTCCACTACTTTCCTTCAACCTGCAGTCACTACTTTATTTTTTCCTGTCTATGGGGAATAAAAAAATCAGTCCTGTGATTACTGTCAAATCCCACAAAGGTAAATCACATCATAATGAAAACATGGGTGATTTATAATTGCAGCAAACTGTTTGGAAGCTTTAGAAGTGTCCAAGAAGATGTCAAAAATCTTTAGCATTGACCCAGAAACTATTTATGCATGTCACTGTTGAGAAGATGACTGATGTTTACTGTATGATGAAATGCCCTTAAACACCCAGCAGGCACCAGACGTCAAAATGACGTCAGATTGACGTTATACCCCAACGTCGTGGGTACATTGCATTTTATGGAAAAAAAATCAGGTTGACATCAGAACTCAATGTCGAACCATTGTCAATGTCGTCCAACCTAAAACCTACCAAATATAAATGTTTAGTGACGTTACAGCTTGACATTGTGTGAACATTACCACTATGACGTCTATCAGACATTGGATTTTGGTTGCCATACCTGATGAATAAATGACAGCATCTGACGTCAACATGACGTTGGTGTAAGATGTTGACATCGGATTTTGGTCACTTTCTAATGTAAGGTCCAGCCAGTTAGTCCAATGATGGTGTGTACTGGATGAAGGTTCACTGCATGTTCGGTCTTTCCAGTGCACAGTGTTGATTTATACAAATCTCTTAAGCGCAAGCATATCAGTCTTGGTCACTAAACAGTGGCGATTGACTGCTATCCTAAAAAGGCAGAACCCTACTTACTCAGATCAGGATATTTTTTTATGCGGTCCCCATATAGCTGCTATCTCCTAAATCAAACAGAGCTATTTAGTCATATTATGATCATTACCATATAATTAAGCAGACTAGTCGTACTTAAACTATTAATAACTTTGAGTTATCATTATACTATCCAAATAGTATTATAAGTTTAAAAGATGAAGGTCTATCCTCTTAGATACACTTTTACAGTCTAAATACATGCATTAATGCCAATGTGTTAGTCGGAGCTCTAAGAACATCATATAGCGTGCCATGCTGCTCCGTTTACTGTGTTTTAGTCCGTTAACCTGTACAGGGGGCTTGTGGTGCTATGGACTTAAGGTAATCTACCCGACATCACAGCCTAAATCTAACCTAATATTAACATCTTTAGAAGTTGTGTGCCTGCTGGGCAATAACTCGATACACTACAGAACGTTTACACACACACGCACAAATTACATGTAAACGGATCAGCTTTTGACAGTGTAATACTCAACACTTACTACTCTTGAGTACTTTTGAAAGGCTACATTTTACACATATTTTAAGTAATATTTATGACACATAATTTTACTTTACTTGCACTACATTTTTAGCCAAGTAATGGTACTTTTGGGTGACGCAGGGGCGCAGTAGGTAGTGCTGTCGCCTCACAGCAAGAAGGTCGCTGGTTCGAGCCTCAGCTGGGTCGGTTGTCGTTTCTGTGGGGAGTTTGCATGTTCTTCCTGCGTTCGCGTGGGTTTCATCTGGGTGCTCCGGTGTCCCCCACAGTCCAAATACATGCAGTACAGGTGAATTGGCTAGGCTAAATTGTCCTTAGTGTATGAGTGTGAATGAGTGTGTATGGTTGTTTCCCAAAAATGGGTTGCGGCTGGAAGGGCATACGCTGTGTAAAAACGTGCTGGATAAGTTGGCGGTTCATTCTCCTGTGGCGACCCCAGATTAATAAAGGGACTGAGCCGAAAAGAAAAAATGAATGAATGAATGAATGAATGAATGAATGGTACTTTTACTTGTGTATGATTTTTTAGTACTCTTTCCACCACTGAAAATGCCTACTTTACGTCCATTCAGCCCATAGTAGAAAAACAAGCCATGCCCACTGTTTGCTCATTTAAAATTTTATTTCTTTAGGAACTGCATCACATTACGAAAAGAATAACAACCCTGAATGAAAAGCTGTATTATATCTAGCATGTCTTCAGTTGTGTAGCAAGCAAAACTTGTCATAATGTGCAATGTTTCACGCATTCAATGATTGCTGATCTCACTCTTTCACACGCTGTGTCATAAAGCGAATACTGTCATGCTAAGTGGTTGGCCAGCAGTGTGCAGGAATTACACTTACTGTATTACTAAGTCATACTTATATTTTATTTGGGACAGAATATTCACATGTGCAGTAGTATGGTAAACAATATAGGGAGGGCATCACAGGTTATCATTGTTCAGAAATAACCCAATGTGAATATAAAACCAACTTCACCTCAGTAAACCAGGCTAGGAGGAATAGCGCTATTTACAGATTTTTTGTTAAACTGAAAAAAAAAAAAAACTACATTATCGATACTGTAAAAGGTCCATTATAAAAACTGAAAATAGTCTCATTAATTTTTTGGCGGATTTCAATGGCTGAACAACACTTCTGTGCATATAAACCATTCGCAACACCTCAAAATCTAGCTTTGTGTGACAAATAGTTTTAAAACATAACATTACCTGTCTAAAAGAAATACTTTAGGCATGGTGTCATCCTTCCTCCAGCAATTGATTTAGGATTTTAAAAGGTTTTGATTGAGCATTTGTGGATCAAGCAAGTGGGTCCAAACATTTATGAGTTTCTTTTTTCTGCTGCACAAAAGACTATTTTCAAGAAAGCTGAAAATAGCCATTGACTTTCATAGTAGGATAAACAAATAGTGAAGTCGGTGGTTACCGCTTTCTAGAGTAAATGTCTTCTTTTGTGTTTGGCAGAGGAAATAAAACTAAAACAGCTTTGATGACAGAATTTTCGGTCACACTTTACAATAGGTTTATTAGTTAAAGTTAATTAATACATTTACTAACATGAACAAACAATGAACAATACATTTACCACTGTATTTGTTCATGTTACCGTCAGTTAATAAAAATATAGTAGTTCATTGTTAGTTCATGTTAACTCATGGTGCATTAACTAATAAGCAAAGACTTGGATGTTAATAATGCATTAGTAAATGTTCAATTATGATTAATAAATGCTGTACATGTGTTGTTCATGATTAGTTCATGTTAGTGAATGCATTAACTAATGAACCTTATTGTAAAGTGTTACCGAATTTTCAGTTTGGTGAACAATCCCTTTAATTCACTCACCTTTAGGCCAAACAAGGATGATAAAGATGACTTTTGCTAAAACAATGGGTCTTGGTGATTAATTGAAATGAAAGTTTGTCAACAGAAAAAACTAAATTAAAACTGAGCTTGTGATGATTGAGGAGGAGGGAAAACACTTAGATGCCCTGTGAGGGAAGCAAATAAAAGCAAAATTTCCATTTTTGTTGTACGATATCTTTAAATTATTCTGCCAGAAAGGTAAAATCTAAATTATTGCACAGACTGGACACGTTTAGCAAATTTCAAACGATGTATTTAAACAACTGACATCAAAAAAAACGGCAATTTCCCCCAAATGTTTTTTAGAGTTTCAAAGCATAATTATCTGCATGCTAGCGTTACTGACCACATGGAAGTGTGTTAGCACTTTGATTAGTCATCTTGATTAGTGAAATTTACAGATATTCGTGCCAAAGAAAGACAAAGGTGAAATAAAACACTGTTGTTTAAGTGGCGCATTTCTATTGGCTGGACAGTCAGGGAGTGTTCGTTTACATAAGGCATTCATTCCGAGGACTGCAGACGGCAAGCAGTTCAGCTGTAAAGAGTTTTTGCCAAGACTGTAATGGATCGCTGGAGAGGCAGAGTTGTTCTTGTCACTGGAGCTTCAGTGGGAATAGGAGCTGCAATCGCAAAATCTCTTGTCCAGCATGGCATGAAGGTGGTCGGATGTGCCAGAAACGTGGAACAAATTAAGGTAAATGATAAAACTTATGAGGAATGAAATTTGCTGACGAAAAAAAGTAGGGTCCGTGTACATTTTGTTCATTTGTTTTCCATTTTCAAACGGAATAAAGGAAATGGAGAAAACGGCCGTTTTTCCGTTTTTCTTTTGCTCACGAGAAAACGAAAAAACGAGATTTTGGCTGGATTTTCGTTTTTTGGTTTAGGGTAGGAAAACGGATAAACGACTTTAAAATTCATTTTACACATGTAGGCGGTGCTGAAACGCCCACTTTCCTCTAATTGGTCAACCAAATCTGCGCTCGTGACGTCACCCTCAAAATAAAAGCCTTACACGCAGGCTTTTAATTATTATTATTTAATTATATATTAACTAAGTTTAAATATTCTATCATTTGAACCACACACAGTTAGCAGGCTTACATTCATTGCGTATGTATAAATTAAATAAAAACGTAAAGCAGTATTCTTAGACATTTGTCATTAAAATAAGGTCATAGTTCACTGCCAAGCTTCTTGCTGCTGTGCACCTGATGCTGAGCAAAGATAGCCATTTCCGAGGAGCACCTGGTTTGCATGATTGTTTCAGAGCAAGGGCTTTATAATGATAATAATAATAATAATAATAATAATAATAATAATAATTATTATTATTATTATTATTATTATTATTATTATTAGGCCTATTATTATTAGTATTGTTATTATTTACTTAGTTATTCAATGGTTGTAAGAACACATTGGACCCTGCATGGGGCTATAATAAATGGTACCATTTGTTTCTATTGGATTTTCTCCTATTTTAATTTAATATATGCCTTTAGCCTATTGTAAATATTTATTTGATAATTAATACTTTTTTATGGCAATGTCAAAGTAGGCCTGTCTTATTATTATTATTTTTTGTTATTATTTTGTCGTTGTTGTTGTTATTATTATTGTAGCAGGGACATAGCCACAGGTGTGGCAGAGTGTGCTGGTGCCACCCAAAGTGGCATCTTGCACCTGAAAATAGATGCCTTCGCGCTCAAGCGCGCGCAAAAAACTTGCACAGGCAAAAGTAATGATGAATGTGTTGATGGAAAAAAAACATTCTAATTATTTGTTAATAAAATAGTGCAACATTATTCTCAGTCAGTGTAGGCTGAAAAAATTAAGATCGCCAGCATTTCAAGGGTGGTTTTATTTTTAGTTCATTGCTGTGACGCGCTATATTTCACTAAGGCTGCATGAGACTGCGCATCTTGCTTATTTTCTCCATTTTACATACAGAACATATCATACAGTCCAGGTTCTACCGTTCTAGTGAGTGTGGGGCATTGCTTTACAGTGGTAAAGTGGATTATTTCTTGGCAAATTCATAATGATTCACTTTGTTTAGTAATAAATTTCATAGTTATAAAATAACTACATTTCAAGAATATGTTAACACTTTCAACTATTTAGGATTATTTCTTGCATCAAAAGTAATTTCAAAGTAACATTAAATGTATAAACTGCTTAATTTGTGTCTGTAAACACCTAAGATGCAAAAAGCTTATTTAGACCAGAATAGGCCTACTAAATGCAACGGTCAATGTATGTAAACTTATGACCTAAAATGTCTTAAATGACTAAATTTAAGTCTTTTTAAGTTTTTAAATAATTTAAGTTTAACATAAATGATTTAAACTTTAAACTTCAAATTAACAGAGTATGGCAAATAAATTGTTTATTAAATGGAGGTCAGGTGTCTATCTTAATTATAATTATTAAATATTATGACACTATAATTCAGTGGTGTATTGGAGAGTACGCACCTTTTAATTAATTAATTTTAAATAAGCGATTTATCCTAAATAAAATGCAATGGGATCGGTGTGCAATGAATAGTTTGAAAACCCCTGGTTCAGACTAGACGAGCTAGCTGTCTGTGCGCTGCGCTAATAACTTGGCATTTGCCCTTTTCGGTGCTGCCAGATGCATTTATAGTGCATAAAAAATAAAAAAGGTAATTCGGTAAAGCGCGCGATGCGCGCAGAAATAAGCGCACTATATGCATATGTCGAATTAAGTTCTCTTTTTCTTTAATTAAGACTTTTCCATTCGAGGAATTACAGTTATTAATAGCTTAGTCCTTATAAACGATCAGTTTATAAAATACACAATTTACGGATCAACCATAATGAAGAATAAGAAGAATATGCAACGCATTATGATCCTTGAATGATCAGAGCGCATTTATATAAACTATATATTTTATATAATCCATAAATATTAAAAAAACATTATACATTTAAAGTAATGTAACATTATATGTTATAAAATCTAAACTATTATTTAGGCTACAGGCTAAATAAAGGCGCCTTTTCGGGGCTGTCAGCGCGTGCGTCAAAGAAAAGACATGACACAATCTCTATAAAAACTTGTTGTTTATTTACAATACCAAAGGGATATAAAACATCTAACATGCATCTCGATTCTCAACGAGTTTCTGTGTTCTGCATCCTTCACAGACCGAGGTCTCATTCCGAGGTAATCTGTAAATATTCTCATTTGGTTCTGGCACATTCTTGATTAAAGGTGAAACTGACCGGCGCAACGGATGATTTGTCATCTAGGGTGACAACAGTTATAATACAGGTTATGGAACTATTTCACTTTAATTTCATATTATTATTTTATTAAACAAACAAACCAGTTTTTGTTTTGGCTCTGCATGCAGCGTATTGGATCTTTGAAGCATTACACTTCAAATGTTATTCCTTTTTTTTTTTATTGCATTTTTAATATTTTTAATTATACAACACAAAATTGGTTCTAAACAGATACATTTTCCTTTAGGCTATGATGAAGTGTATATTTTTGTTCACACAGGTCCTATACAAAACTGTGTGGATGGATGATTTGTTTCTCCGTGAAAATCACTCATTTAATAAGCAAAACAGGCCAAAATGTTGTTTAGCTTGCGTCAAACTGGATGGATAATTTACAAACATATTGAATACAAAGGCTGATTATTTTATGCAATGAGGGACAATAGGCCTATTACAAATTAAAGAAAATTATTTGCATATTAAAACGAAAATATATAATACAACAACAGATCCTACCTCGTAAGAAATGACTTTAGATAATGTAAATAAGCATCAAGTTTTTTTTTTTTTTGAGATTGTGTGTCTAATTCAGTAGTGTAGTGCGTTCGTGTGGGTTTCCTCCGGGTGCTCCGGTTTTCCCCACAGTCCAAATACATGCGGTACAGGTGAATTGGGTAGGATAAATTGTCTGTACTGTATAAGTGTGTGTGTATGTGTGGATGTTTCCCAGAGATGGGTTGTGGCTGGAAGGGCATCCGCTGCGTAAAAACTTGCTAAATAAGTTGGCGGTTCATTCCGCTGTGGCGACCCCAGATTAATAAAGGGACTAAGCCGACAAGAAAATGAATGAATAATGTGCAATACTAATTTAAAATATGTATCACTAACCTTATATGTGAAATAGCAGGGCCCGCTCTAGCACTTTCTCAAGAAGAGCAAATGTCAAATTATTAGCGCAACACACATGTAGCGAGCTCATCTGTTTGTCGGAACTACTAGACACAATTTTTTTAATCAACTATAATGTGTTTAATTAGTTAATTTGAAATTTATTTCATTATTCCAGCAATAATTGTTGAGTGAAAGAATGCGCTATAAATATGCATTGCGGCTCCATTTATTGTACAGGCTTATTGCACTTAAACTTTTTTAGGTTCGGCTCTGGAATTAGTAAGGTTATGAGTAAATGTTATTTAAAATATTTAAAGCCTGCCATCTAGCCTACAATAACAGCAAATTTAATAATAAAAATAATAATAAGACAGGCCTACTTTGGCGTTGCAATAAAATAGTATTAATTATCATATAAATAATTACAATATATAATTAAAATAGGAAGAAATAAATGAAAACAAATGGTACCCTTTGTTTTTATAGCAGGGCCCAAAGTGTTCTTATTCTGGTTCTGCTAACAACTATTAAAAAGAAAAAAACACACACCAAACAATAAAAACACTAGTAACTGATAATAATAATAATAATAATAATAATAATAATAATAATAATAATAATAATTATTATTATTATTATTATTATTATTATTATTATTATCATTATAAAGCCCTTGCTCTGAAACAATCATGCAAACCAGGTGCTCCTCGGAAATGGCTATCTTTGCTCAGCATCAGGTGCACAGCAGCAAGAAGCTTGGCAGTGAACTATGACCTTATTTTAATGACAAATGTCTAAGAATACTGCTTTACGTTTTTATTTAATTTATACATACGCAATGAATGTAAGCCTGCTAACTGTGTGTGGTTCAAATGATAGAATATTTAAACTTAGTTAATATATAATTAAATAATAATAATTAAAAGCCTGCGTGTAAGGCTTTTATTTTGAGGGTGACGTCACGAGCGCAGATTTGGTTGACCAATTAGAGGAAAGTGGGCGTTTCAGCACCGCCTACATGTGTAAAATGAATTTTAAAGTCGTTTATCCGTTTTCCTACCCTAAACCAAAAAACGAAAATCCAGCCAAAATCTCGTTTTTTCGTTTTCTCGTGAGCAAAAGAAAAACGGAAAAACGGCCGTTTTCTCCATTTCCTTTATTCCGTTTGAAAATGGAAAACAAATGAACAAAATGTACACGGACCAAGTAGCCTATGTAAAACTGTAATCCTTAATGCGAGGACGGTGAAAGGTTTATTTGAACAGGTCTATTTAAGAGAAGATTTTGTAGTTTGGGAGTTGGACAATATCGATTCAATAGTTCGCTTTGTTAGCGCGGTTAAGTTGGTTTTGTTTTCGATATTCCTGACACATTCAGTGATACACGGCAATAACTCAAAAACCTCTTACCCTAAAAAGATTTAAAGTGTGTTTCCAACAAAAAGGCAAAGCTGGTTATGTTTCACAGCTGTCTTTTTCTTTTTTTCGCTCGACATTACGAGCACTGCTCTGTTTAAGCCCTCGCAATATGCATTCAGCCGGGAGAG